GGGGCCTGTTGCTGCCGGCGGCGATGGTACGTCTTCCCGAGGAAGGCGTCCATAACATCATTCCTCCTTTGAGTCATACTCATGTGTGATTGGAATATGTTTATTCTTCTCTCCTAGTAATATATGTGTTGAAGATCTCTTTGGTTGCATTTTATTTTCTCAGTTTGAAGATCTCAGTTTTATGATGCAAAACCATCATCGAAAGAGCCAAACTGTGGATACCTCAGAATGACTATTCGTTTCTGGCATTTTCCTTGCCATATCAAGGATGATTTGGCCAAGTTGAGGGATTTTTTTGTGTAGCAGTGATATGATATCAATATAAAGCTATTTGCATGGATCCACCTTTTCTTTTTGTGCTTTCTGTCATAATTCTTATACTTCTCTTTTTTTCCGATACAAATAATGCATTATTTACTAAAAGAGAGAACAGATGTTAGCAACATACATTTTTTTCCCAACAGTAGGATGTAAGCAACAAAGTCACTGGAAGATATTAATGATCCTTCTCAAGTTCTTTGTTTTTGTTGGATAAGTAAAAAATCTGATTATATTAATGTTGTCAATCTCCTGAGCACCCGAATAATGGGTGACAAAGTAAGCTTTACCATTCAATGGAGTCATCTTACAGTTTACTTGATTTTGGTTACTTATTTATAATATACAACTTCCAGCCAACCATACCCAGGCATTGGTTGAGGAATCAAGATCAGAGTATGGTTTGTCATGGGGATATATTGAACTTATAAGCCTTTGCATGGGAAGGAGTCCATGAAATCTTGAGAACAAAATTGGAGAATCTAAGAAAAGAGGTCCATTTAAGCAGTGGGAGGATAATGGGTTTGAAAATTACCGGAGATGTGATACCCCCGGGATTGTAGTCCTCTTCCATCTTACTGAAAAAAACATGGTCAGTGACCTAGAGGAGATGGTGTGGCCTGTGGGAAGTTTTGGGCCCTTTGGCATTTTGACAATCAGCTATTTTCGAGGACTGTTTTATGATGTACAAATAAGGGAAAGGATATACACAATCTGATTTATGTTAAAAGTTATAGAAATAGGGTTTGACCGTGGTCACTTTTCGGGTTGCTTGGCAGTTGTACATACTCATACTTCTCTTAATCATTGAATAAGTTATCAATGCTCCTGGGTGACTGGGTCATCATAACGTGTGAAATAAGGTGTTAATGCCCTTGATAGTTTGGTTAGAACTGAGCTTTGATTTATTTATTTATTTATTTTTTGATTTCTTTTGAAGGGCTAACAACAGGGGTAGCACATCCCCCAACCCATAACCCCCCAACCCAGGTGCAGGTGGGATTGGATCTGAAGTCTTCGCTACGACCAGCAGGAGACCTTACCAACCCACTGGTTGGCACCTTGCAGCTTTAATTTCTTTATTTCTTTCTGTTTCTTTTTCTTTTCTATTTTTTATAGCAAGGGGAAAAACATTCATCCCTCTTCAAAGAGGTTATGTCTTCCTCAAGGCTACAAGAGGATTCTCATTGAGGAAGACTTGGCTATCACCTTAGTCTTGACTCTTGATCATGTTTCCTATAAAAAAAATTAGTCGTCCCCTTAGAGAGTTGATATTTGGTACAGACTGATCGTTTCTTTTTTTCCTTTTTTTTATTTCTTTTGGGTTCTGGGATGTGTGAACTTGGTTGCAGATAATCTTGCTCAAGAGGGTGCAAGTAGAAAGGTTTGTACTATGTACTAGGGGTCTATCTTTCTGGTGTAGGTGATTTTTCTGTATATTTGTATGGCATACCACTTCAATGTTTCAGGCTTTTGTGGCCCTATGTTCTTTTTACTCTACTGGTTTGTATCTTTGTTTGTCCCTTTACCAATAAAATAGTTTTATTAGCTATTGTATGAGACATATCAAGAATATTAAATATAAACTAATCATCTCCTAACAATTGCAAGCTACTTCCAAACCAAGATTTTAGGTGAAAATATCTTATTAATTACTATCAATATGCCATTGAGGAGTTCTCTTAATCTTTCTTCTAGATTGTAAATGCACAGTTTTTCAATTACTTCTGGAACATAATATTAGTTTCCATGTTGGTGTTAGCTTATTTCTCAATGCAATTACTGGGACTATTTATTGTCTTTGTTGCAACCGATCTCCTGTAGTGTCTTTTATATTTTCTGACATATATGATTCTGCAGGGAAATGCAAGAAGGTTGCTTGATAAACGATGTGATGGCAACACTCGCCTTGGAAAACTTTCAAAGCTAGGGCTTGCACCTGTTCTTTGGTGTATAATCCTTATATTAATCATCACCTATCTTCATTCAGTCATTATGGGTATATTACTGTGGTCCTTGCATATAAATGTTATACTTTCTCTCTAACGTGAATGTCTTATGCTTATTTCTGTTGTTTCTTTTTGACTGCAGCATCAAATCTACCAAAGTTAACAGCTGCTTTTGGCCTTTTTGCCTGGTTGGGAGTTTTCCTCGCAACTTCTGGACTGGTATTGTTTTATAGGTGTAGCAGGTATGCTGTTTGGACCTTTTCTTGATATAGGACTTTAGAAACACTGATGAAAAAAAATAGAACTTCAGAAACTAAATTAGTTTAACAATGGAAATACATAGAGAGTGCAGGTTCTATTTTGTTTTTGATTTTGTGTAGTTAAAAGTAACTCATCTTCTAGCAGTATGAGCTGGAAAAATTCCTTTGTTTTAGATGTTAGAGTAACAAAGGGACACACCCTCAGTTTTAACCATCTTATAGTAGTAAGAATCAAGGTTTTCGAACTCTTGTTGACCTGGATGGTTGGATTGTTCAGCCCGGAAACCGGTCAGGATACCAGTTCCATTTTAACCTCAAACTGTTATTTTCTCAAAAACCGTTGAAGTGGTCAGTGACCCACTGACCTGGGCAGTCAAACTGTTGACTAGACAACAGTTTTCGGGCCAAATTTTATTGTAATTATTTTTTTTTATCTTTTTAAAACATCATGGGCTGATCAGTTTGGACGAATGATCGAACCATTGGCCTGGAAACTGGTGGCCAAAGTGGTTCCAGTTCTTGGTTGGTTTTTAAAACATTGGTAAGAATTACTGATGTCTTCAATCTGAAGTTGTCTGACTTCTGAAAGCTGTCTACATAGGTTGAACTTGATCCTGTTTAAAAGGCAATTGGTGTCCAGTAACTATGTGATCTTATAGTTAACTATGCACCAGTTTATACCTATTAACCATGTGGGTTGTTAATATTATAATGATACAATAGACCTTGTCCTTGTAGGGAAAAAAGAAAAAAGAAAAGAAAACAAAAAAGTATGGTGTTTTGAGTAAGAATTTCAATATATAATCTTTCAGTAGGTGTTATCCATTCTAGCTTAAGAACCACCAAGTTATTAACATCTCTATGACACCATGGCAGGAAGCTTTAATCTCACATTTCTGTTGCTTGGTTGGACCTAAATGTTCTCTTGTTTGTAAATTTTAATTTATTGTTGCTGTTCTTGATCTTTGGGATTGTTATATTATCTCACATGCTGCTTTACAGTTTCTTTTTTATTTGTTTTTGGTTACATACCTTTTTTATTGCATGGGAATTTCAAAATAGGTATCATACCCATGTCAGACACATGTGGACACTGAAACTAGCATGAAACTTGGGGGGGGGGGGTCTCTTCTCGTTTTTATATTTGTAATATGTCACTGAAGAACCTTGATCTTTTATAGTATAACTTTTGACATGAATAGTGAATCTATTAAGTTTGTTATTTAGTATTATCAGTTTTTGTTTGCTTAACCTTATACCATGTCCTATTCTGACGGTTATGCTTTCATCCATGTAATGTAGCTCAGAAAATGTTATTGTGATCTCTACCTTGATGATATGCTAGATTGAATAAGGTGGGGCTGAGTAGGGGATTAGTGGCTGTTTTCATACCTGTAAATAATTGCAGAGATATGCAATGCAGGGGAACAAGAGATATCATTTTTTGAACATCTATACAATAAATTACTTTGTTGACACTAAGATAAAATTTTGGAATGAAAATGTTTTGACTTCTTTTCTATTTGGGCCTCATATTTGTTTATCTTTTTCTCTCACAGCAAGGATCCGGGTTACATCAGAATGAATATGCATGATTCTCAAGGTCAGAAAGATGATGTAAGTTGCATTCATAACAACCAATGTTTATCCCCATCATTTTTGTCCCCCTCCCCCCCCCCCAAAAAAAAAAAAAAAGAAGAATCACGACACATTTCACCTCTAATCTTTTTGTAGGAACCATTATTGAAGACTGAGTTAAACCATCCTGCTTTGATGGCTGGGAATTGGTCTCAGCTCTGTGCAACATGCAAGGTGGCATCCACTTCTGGTTCTCATTCCTGTGTATGCAGTTGGTTTCTTTGAACAGCAGTTAATTAACTTTGATAAATCTGATGTATTTTCAATTTTCTTTTCTTTTTAGATCGTCAGGCCTCTTCGTGCAAAGCATTGTTCCACATGTGATCGTTGTGTTGAACAGTTTGACCATCACTGCCCTTGGGTGTCAAATTGTATTGGCAAGGTGCTTCCTACTGACCATTTGCCTGTTCAGGTTCTTCTGAAACTTTAAGAATAGATGAAAGACAACTGTCAGGTAGGCTATCATGAAATAGATCAAAGATGGTCTGCCAAGGTCTTAAACAGCAATATGGCATGAAATGGATTTCACAAAGGTCACATCCACCCTAAAGCTAAAGTTGGCCTGTATGCAAAAAAAAGAAATCTCTTCATATTTTGGACTGGGTATAGATTATTTCTGCCTCTTTACATTTTTCCTTTTAGGATCCAACCCATAATCAGTTGTGAATGTATACGTGCGTTGGGTATGGATTTAACCTATGAGATCTGACCATGATCTGGAATCTCTGCCCCCCATTAGATATGACATTTGGCTGGTCTTCCAAATATTGGCATATTCAGAAGGTTGGACTTGTTGAAGACAATAGTAATTCCTACGTGGGATTCATTGGGTCATTATTCCTTTTATACTGAATATACATAATATGTAGGGATGGTTGGGGCGCACTGCTGAAAATCCAACTGGTAGTTCACTTTTCCTCTCTTGAGAATGAACAATAACCATCTATTTATTTGTGATGCAGAAAAACAAATGGGATTTCTTCATGTTTCTTATTCTAGAAATTTCTGCAATGCTGATTACTGGTGCAGTTGCTTTTTTAAGTATGTGTCCTACTTTAATTGATTTAGTTGGGCAACATTATTACTTATTAGCTTCATCTTCTGGGAAGAAATAAAGACTTTTCCGTGAATATGTTTCTGGCAATGAAAGAATTGTCTTAAATGCAGGAGTATTGAAGGATCCAACTGCTCCATCTTCTTTTGGAGCATGGATGAGCTACGTCAGCACTCAACATATTGGGGCTATGTCATTTCTCATTGTGGATTTCTTCCTCTTCTTTGGTGTGGCTGTGTTGACTATTGTACAAGCTTCTCAGGTATGTGCATATACGGATATACCATCTAAGGTAGTATTTTATATTTGTGGCTTTCGACACAATTGAAGTCACTGTCTTTAGTTGCATAATTCAATTCAGTTTTCATCAAGATGCAACACCAAGCAGGGTGAACTTGGGAAAATCAAATAATCATGGTGTTTAGTTAATCTATACTGAAACGGTCTTAGGCATCTATTTTATTTCATGTGATTCTTGATGCCTCTGCTTTGCAAGTCTTGTGCTAATATACAATCACTTCTGAATGGTTGCAGATATCTCGCAACATCACAACAAACGAAATGGCAAATGCGATGCGGTATGGCTATCTTAGAGGCCCAAGTGGTCATTTCAGAAACCCATATGATCGTGGCGTCAAGAAAAACTGTTCAGATTTCTTGATCAATGGATATAATGAGGACGTGGAGTTTGTTGAAGAATCAAACCATTCTGAAGAGACTGGGATGATACAAATGACAAGGTGTTCAAATTTGCAAGAGGGAGGGAATCATTCTCATCATGTCAACACCAACGGCCATGTCTCCACTGATGTGGATCCGAAGAACACTAGACCAAATAATGGCCGCATAAACTCTTCTCAGCACAATCACAATAGTCATGGGAAGGGAAATGGTTTCCCACTAGGGTTAGGTATTGGCCTTGGAAGGAACAGCGCTCTGTTGTAGTATCATGATATTAAAATTTTTTGTACACCGATAAAATCCCTATTCCATAGGAGGTGAGTTGTAGTCTTTTGCAACTGTAATTGTTTGTGTGCATACACCGATTAGTTCCCTCAGTCTTTTAGAGGTTTCATGCTTTGTGAAATTTTACTTTTTCCGTTCATAAAATTGTCTTTAGTTGTTGTAAACTTGTAATATATTCCTCAAATTGAAAAAAAAAGGCATCTCTGATCAGTGGTTGATTTATAGCCATGGGAGGATTCGTGCTAATAGAGGGCCTGGTTTGGGGGGTTGGTTTCATAGGGCCGGCCGTTATTGGGTTTCACCTCACACAACGCCCTACGTTTGCAACCAGTGCTTCATGCTTGTCCAGTAGGGATGCAAATTGGGCTGGGTTATTTCTGCTTGAAACCAAGCCTAACTTGACTTGAGTTATTGAACCCCTAACCCAAAGTTCTAAATATCAACATGGGCCTGTGTTGGTGTTTTTTTATGTTTTATTTATTTATTTATTTTTTTCAAAATTGGTTCAGAGGGGTCTGTTTAAGTTTTGACTATCTTCTGTGAAGGGATGAGAGATCTATCATATACATGATTGAACCTTGTAGAAAAGTTGGGCGAAATTTCAAAAATTTATCTCTCCTGTTTGAGAATCACATTCCCTAATTTAGAAAACTGTATTTTCAAGGATAATTCTTGAAACAAAATTGGATCAGATCTGAAACCAAAGGGAAGAGAGGGATATACCTGATACAAAGTAGTAGTAACTCTCAATGAAAGTGTTCACGCCCAAGGATGAACCAAAACCTGCTTCCACTGAAGATGACACAATGCGTAGTGAAGCAGGATCAGTAGGACGGTTCTTCAGTAAGAACTGAATTCTTCAGCAAGAACTGAATTCTTCAACAAGAATGGAGTAAATGGTTGGTGAGCACGACTTAAGATCGTTTCTTTAGTCAATAAACAATATCAAGAATTCTTCTTGATCAGTTCCACAGGTGGAGATCAAACTGGGTAGAAATAGTAAGAACAAAGGGAGAATTCTATAGATTGCTGTATGTAAAACTAAGGAATTCGCCCCCTATTTATAGTTTTCTTTGGATCTGCCTCCTAATATAATTAGAAGAGAGTTTCTTGATCCAAATCTGATATTTGGATTTGGACTCTTAAATAGATAAGACTTATCTTTCAACTAATCCTAATCAGATTATAAATCAGATTTAGCCCCTTTTAATTAACTGACTTAAGCCCAGTTCAAATTGGGCTTTAGGCCCATTAAGCCTATGTGCTCACTTTCACCTTTAACCTGCTACCAAATGAGTTTTCTTTGTATGGCGTGGGACCTTTACATCGATCTACACATCAGCCACATGGGTTCAACCCAGCCTTTGTTACAAGGACTGGCTGAATTCATTATAGGAGACAATGAACCCCTGAGTCCATTACCATGAGCTTTTAATGAGCCCAACATTTACACTAAATGGTCCTTTGGTCCAGCCACCTTATAAAAACTTAAGGACTGTGGGTAGATGCAAGATTATCCCATCAAGTATTATCCTCAATGGTCTTACACTTAACCTCTCAATTCATAATGATCAAATATTACCTAACAAAAGAGGACATCTCCTTCGGCTGCAAGGAACAATGTTGCACTCTCTACTCACATGGATCCCGGGAATTAAAACATTTTGCAAACATTTTGAAACCATAATATATATATGTATATCTCTATATAAATATATTTTGCAAAAACAAATTTCAACATTTGAAATCAATTGCTAGCAGCTTAGGTTTCCATTAGAGAGAGTGCATCCTCAATCGTTCACTTTGTCTAACAAAGGGATTGGTCATGTCACTATGATCACCCACTCAGATGAATTCTCGGACTGTCCCAACATACCCAGGTTTTGACCCTTTCTAAGGATCTCACTGATCGGCATATCAAATATAGCCCAATCCGACACCTAGTGCAGTACCATAATCAAGTGTAGGGGTCAGGTGTAACATTTCAGTTTTGCCCATCTATCTCTAAGGTATAGGGCAATACTAGAATTTCAGTTCGGCTTAGGGTTTAAAGAAAACCCACACTGCATGCACCTCAGGTCTCACCCTAGCAGTTGAGACAAGCCACTCAACCAACTTGGCATCACATCAATGTTAGTCTTGGCAGGATAAATCTCCCCAGATCTATTCAATGGCTGTGAAAATTCTAAACTAACACGAGTCTCATAAGTCACGAGTCTCATAAGTGTCCAGTTTAAGGATATTACACAGAAACATGCCAAAACACATGAATTAATTATGTACTTTTATTCATTTACAATAAATGCCATCAAGTACATCAATCTGATTGGAGCTAAGGGCATACATTGTCTAACATTCTGAACCATGGTCTGACCCGGTACAACCCCTATGAGGGCATATCTGGAAGCCATTGGCATGATACGTATTGGCCGATACGGGTTGATACGTGTCGATACTTTGAACCTTGCCCCAATCTAAACTTATGGCTTATCAATCCTAACTCAACCTGATTGGTTCTGTATTTTTTCTATTCCTAGTCTCAAAAAGATTAGGTCAATTCAGTTTTAACATTGTTATAGATAAAAGGATTTATATACATAAATACATGTTCATGGGTTAGACTTGGGCTTAGTTTTTGTCAAATTTTTAATGGGACAAGCACAAAGCTTGTGTCTGAAGTAGTGTAAAATGTTCATAGACAGAGTCCAAAGAGTGTCCCTTGAACAGGTCTAATGACTATATAATATTTATGGGAAATTTTATGATGCCGGAAAGACATGATATCAGAAAGACTTTGACCAATCAAACCCTTGGGAATTTGGATGAAAGCCCATAGTTACTTCTATAATTCCAGTTGATGGGTTATTACTTATAAGTTTTTCTAGTGTCATGTCTTTTCATCTCATAGTCTAACCCAATATTTATACATATATACATACAAATAAGAATTTGGGTTTGGGTTAGTTGGGACTTCAATCTTAATACAATATGAAGTTGGCTTCATGCTTTTCAACCCTAATTCAAACATCAATCCGGCCCAATCCAATCCAACCTTTTTTTTGTGTGTGTTGGGTGCGGGTTAACCTGGCCCAAGTTGCAGCCCATTGTTTGATAGATAAAGTTTGACTCAGATTCAGACAAGGCAAAAAATTGCCGCTGGTTCAACCATCTAATCTGGTCCACGTCTAACAGCACTGCTAAAAAACCACATGTTGCACCTTCGATCATTGATGAAGCAAATCTTATAACAAGGTAACAACGGTTTGTATCAAGAGGTGGAATATGTATGCAAATTATAAAAACAATAAATTTAATTTAATACACAATAAAGAATAAAAATCTATTGAGGGACTTCACCTAATAGCTTAATTTTTTAGGTTGAATGATTTTTGAGATGGTATCAGAGCCTCAAATGTTCTAGTGTTCAATTCTTATCGTCCTCATTATAGTTAATTAAATTTAAGCACCAAGTATGAATGGGCCTATATTTGTCTACACCTTAAACTTGATGGACTTTCACGTGATATGCTAGAGAATAAAAAGCTATTGAAGAAGAAGAATATAGGTAAGCCATTGGAACTGAATCTTTTACCTCAAGTGATGAGGGTCTGCTATCTCAGACAGGGAGACGGGGTCTATCTGTTCCATCCCTAATAATCATTGCTGTGGCCCTGGCCTGCTAGCTCTTTCATGCTGCGAGATACAGGGCATGCATTATTTTTGCCTTTGTTTGGTGGGAAGGATACAAATATCTGACAAACTTAACCCATATATCTTATTCTTGAGTCTCAAATACTTTATCAGTCTTGCAATAATGAATTTGATGAATCAACAGACCTACCAATCTTTCAACATATACAATATACAACTTGCAAATTGTTTTCTGTCGTCACATTCTTTATTCACTCTTTTATCATTATATTAAAGGAATGGTGGTACAGTACTTTTTGTTCTCAAATGTGAAAGACTTTAGTCACGAAATCACTAAAATATCTTGAGGTTTCTAGATATTTTCTCCGTCCAGTTGGAGGGTTTGTTGTGACAAATCCAAACAATTCCTCAAATGGGGAATTTTAACTTCTACTGATCAGAGTCCTCCATATAAGCTCTCTATAGAACTATGTTAAGGGGTGAATTTGGACCCCCTAAAAAGGCCATTTCCAATGCTGGCCCCCGGCTATCTCGGGTCTAGGGAGGGATAGATTGGATATGATTCTAACTTTGAATTTTTTTTGTACAAAGTAGACACTCTTGGATTTGAACCCGCATTCTCATGCTTATCAGTGGGGGCCATATGAGCCCATGAATGGAGCACCTCCTTAGGTGTCTTAATATGATCTAGATTCCATTAAGAAAAAAAGGTAAAGAATACCTTTCAAAGCATTGACCATGGCTGCTGCTTATTCTCTCATTCTATCTGCAGATCATTCCTTTCAAGGATGGGTCTTCCTTAAACTATATTTACATTTTCAAAGAAATCTCTGAACCATCATCCAATTCCCAAAGGCATGCTTTTGAAACATGGGACCACCATGAAGCTCTGATCAGGTCATACCAAGCTGGTATTTTTCATCATCCCCATTGAATCCACTTTAGCTTTTCTATTTGTTTAATTACAGAAAACAAACTTAACGGAGCTCACTTAAAAAAAAAAAAAAAAAAGCTTAACAGAGCTTGTTGATAGTTCTTTTTGGCCATGCAGAGTTGGGGTGGAGAGGATGAAGGCTGGAAACCATCTCAATTCTAGTCAGTGGGAACTAAAATCACCAGCATTACCAGCTGGGTAGGATTCCTTCTCCTAATTTGGATACAAATTTGAGTCCAATTTGTTTAAAAAGAGCAAATACTTATGACAGGTAGAGGAAGTAAAAGTCATGACTTTGGGATTTCATGGAAATTTTTGAAAACACTTGTAACCCCAAAAAAGACAATTATACAGAAGCACATTTTATCCATTGTTGGAAGAAAAGCACAACAGACAAGTGAGTTATGTACAATCTGAATCGCCTTTAAGCTTGGTTCTTGACTTCCTGTTCAAGTTTAGATTTTCTAAACCTAAGACAAACTTTGCCTAACTTTTCCCTACTTTTTGTACCATTGAAAAAACTAATTTTTCTAATTTGCTTAATTGATTAATAGAACTTCGATTAGAAGTCTGGTTTGAAACAAGCAAAGGACTCGGGGTCAGGGCATTAGAGGGTCCCTTTTTGTCAAAGTCTTAATTGAATATGAATCCACCCATATCTAATCCAATATTATTTTAAATATATATATATATATATATATATAGTTATACCTACTTAACTTAAAAAAATATGTATTATATCAATTAATAAAGCTGGCTTGAATATAATGTTGTATCTTCAGTTCTTCACTGAACAGTCACGGGTCCATGTTCTACAAATTAAAATCAATTTCAGTTTATTTTATTAATACATTGAAGTTGAATCTATTAACGATGTCCGGTTCAATATGAGTAAATGAAATTCTTTTGAAATCAAATATTAATTTAACCGTTCTATTCCATTTGCAGCGTTAAAATTTCCAACTTTCATCTAAGCCGGATAAACCCTAAATCAAACAAGCTTTATTTTTATTAAAACCACTCGAATGTGCTACAATCAATATCTATTATATCACTGACGTGTTCACTCTTGATTGGTTTTATAGCCTGTTGTAGATATTTATTTATAGCGGATCCCACGTGTTTTGCCAAGTGGGCAAGGGCAAAAAATAATCGTGGTTTTGATTTTTGAACTTTGATGATGTGTGAAAGGTGGAGAAGAAAAGTTCATAAGCCTCTTTTGAAGGTAAAAAATAAAGCCCAAATATGCTGATTTCGTGTGTAGATCTTTTAATGGGACCTTCGACTGTAATGGTCACCATCTTCTTAATATCAAACACGTGGCTAATTCCGTGGGGCCCATATCTCGAATATGCATTCCATGATCCCAGTCAGGCCACCAAACTCGCGACTCGTCCAAGTCATCATAATCAACAATTTAATTATTTAAAATAAAAAGCACGTATGAAACTTTGCGTCCCTGATCTTCCAAAGCATCACTGGGGGCGCGTTCCGCTATTAGTAATTGGAGAAAGCAAATAAAAATAATAATAAAAGCGATGTGGGACCTATTCCTCTCTCCGTTGGGCCTTATCTGATCTTCTCCCGAAGCATCAACCTGACGAACCTCTTCACTTATTAAAATCAACACGTGTCGAATATCGGATGACTCGGAGTTCGCTTCGGTTTTCCTGCTCAGCTACTTTTGCACTTTGTGACTTTCCGCTCTTCTTTTATTGTTCTCTTCCTCTCCCTCTCCCTCTCCCTCTCCCTCGGTCCCTCCCTCCTTTTCGTGCAACTTCAGCTTTCTTTCTGGGCCCAAACCACGAATTCGAATTGAAGGGAGGAATGAATTCTTTCGACCTCTCTGTTTTCATCCTCGAACAACCAATTAGAATTAGATGATTAAATGAGGCTTTTTTGGTTTTCTCCCTGTTTTTTCAGGTATTTTTCCCATCCCCTCTTCCGATTGTCTCCATTAACATAATAAACTGTATTTGATCGGGAAATGCTTTCGGATTCATTCGTTTTAGGATGTTTTTTTCTCGACGATCATCGGGTTTTCTGGTTCTGTTTTATCTTTGTTTCTCTTCCCCTGCATCTTCGTTTGTAAGTCCCTGTTAAGCATTCATCATGTGTTATGTTTTTATTTCCTATATATGTTTATTTATTTCTGGAGTAGTAACATTTCATTTGCTTTTTGTTTGGTGTTGATCGTCGGACCGTAGTGTAGTTTCTTTGTTGGTGTCTGTTGTAGAAGATTATAAGCTCAATTTTTTTATTCTGTTTTGTTATTTCGTTTGATACTGATCAGTCGGACAGTCCTAGTTCGAAACTGTATTTGTTAAGTAATAAAGAGCCTCCTTTAACTTTAAGTATTACCTTAGCTGAGGTTCTTTATGGTTTTAATAATTGCAAGTCTGTAAGTTTGGTCACTGTTCCCTTCAAATATAGAAAGGGTAGCGAATGCGTTCTGGATGGTAAAACGGATACTTTTTTTTACTCTAATGAGTAATTTTGGCAACCCATAAGCCTGAACGAAGTACAAACTACGGTCGGGATGATTTTGCAGCCGAGCTGTTGATTAGAATCTGCAATACCTGGTCCACTGGGTTTCACCTGATACGGCTATCAGCTTTGATTTTTTTTCCTAATTTCTCTTTGTTTATTATTTTTGGAAAAAAATCTGGACTTGCTTTTTTTTTTTTTGAGTTTGCCGTGAACATTTAATCCGATTTCTTTAATTTTGTATTTTTGTCTAACTCCATTGCACAAAACATGTTCTGCCCTCACTAGTCTCAGAAACATAATCCTTACCCAGTTGTTGGTTGAACTTTGTAGACTCAACATGGTTAAATGTTAATCCTTAAAAGATATTTTCTTGATGGCATCTGTAGGGAGACAACTCAACTCAAATGCTTATTCTGTTAAACTGTTTGTTTCTCTTTCTGTAGGATGATGTAGGTTGCAAGCAGTCATATCTTTGTGGATTTAAGCAGAATACATTGTTGTTTTGATGCACTTCCTGTGATATTTATTGAACCACTAAATGGGAGGAGCTTGTTCAAGGAAGAGAGACCAACAGGTCAATGAAGAGAGTGTAAGGAGAGGGGTCTCTGGAAGATATTCCAAAAGTGGAAGTTCAAAATGGTTGGTAACCTCATTTTCACGCCCTGGTGTAGATATTCAGCAGGGAAGAGGCAATTGTCCATCCCTCATGGAACTTTGTATTCATAAAATACGGAAGGTGAGTCTTTTTCTTTGCTTGTTTGTCTTAGAAACCTGAAGTTTACTTTGCGACTGATGAACTTATTTGCCTATGTTTAACAGGATATTGATAAATATAGTACATTTTCAATGCTCCCAAGGGATATTAGTCAGCAAATCTTCAATGAATTAGTGACTTACCATTGTTTGACTGATTCTTCTCTCGAATATTTTTGGGATTGTGCTCTTCAGGTAACAGTGGTTTATCTGATATTCCATCATTTGAAACATTGATTGCTTTAATGTCATGCAATAAATTTTAGAACCTGATGACTTGCATGACAATTTCTAAAAGGGATTTGTGTTGTTTTTTGCAGGATATTTGTTTAGGGGAATGCCCTGAAGTGAAGGACAGTTGGATGGATGTTATCTCTTCACAAGGGCCTTCTCTATTATCTGTTGATGTTTCTTGCTCAGATGTAACAGATTCTGGGTTGGCTCTCCTCAAAGATTGCAAAAATCTCCAATCCTTAACGTTGAATTATTGTGATCAGATTTCAGATCATGGGCTAGAACACATTAGAGGTCTCTCTCTCTCTCTCTCTCTTGTTTGCTCACTGAATCTTTTCCAATATTGCAATTTTTATGAAGAAAAAACTTCATATTCCTCTTTAATAATTGAATTTAGTTTACTGCTCTTCCAAATTCTTGTCTTTTAGAGTTTTGTATCTTTCTTGTTTACTACAGTATTTGTGCATCTTTTGTTTGAATTTTGACTTGGTTTCTTTTTCATTTGGTAAATTCTAATTCCTCCATTTGACGTCCAACTTTTTGCTTCTTGATTTTCAATACTGCATCCATCAATTTCTTCTGGCTGTTCAAGGAGAAGCTTCAACTACTAGCCTGCATAAAAAATAATGCAAGCACCATCAAAATAATTTTGGTAGATTTTCTTTCGTAATCCTCAACATTTGGGCATGAGAGGAATATTCACATTTTGGAGATAGCAGTGAAACAATTATTCTATCATATTGTGGACAGTTGGAGTTGTCATAATTAGAGCTCAGTTGTCCTTTGTCTAGGATGTTGGATTTTTGGTTTCTATGGGACACCAGATGATATTCATAAAGGGATATATTTAGCTTGTTATGGGATTGATGAGAGACAGATCATCAAAGAATCCTTGGGTGCTTATGCCAGGAAACTAGAGAGGTGAAAGTGAAATTGTAATGAGTGTGAACCTTCATTCCATTTGATCTCCAGGTTGGCTAATGTGACACTGATAAACTTGTGAGTAAGAGGGTATCTAGCAGTGAGCTAAGCACCCAAGGACTAGGGATTTAAGATTGGTCCTCTTTTTATTTGACCATTTTTTCTTTCCTATAATAAACATATAGTTAAGGTCGATTTTAAGGTATTTCATCCATGTTGTAAGATGTATATTTAGTTAGCTAGGTGATATGACAATCCTTAGAATGTTTTTATGGTCCATGGAAATAAATGTAAAATGTGTAGGGCTGCAAATGGATCGGATCTGATCATTGGATCAGATATAGGTAGACCCAAATTTGATTTGTCTGTATTCAGATTCGAATTGAATCTTACCTGTCAGGCTTATATTGGATTTGAATTGAATTCAATTTGCAATCAGCTATTATTAATAAACTAAACTTAAAATAATCAAAGTATTTTATATTATTAATAAAATGAATTTAAAATAACTTGTTTGAAATTTGAACATATGACTCTTTAGTTAAAATACAACATGCAAATAAATATGGTACACGTTTTAAGTGTATATATAGGCACATATTTTTAAATCAAATGGAATAAGATCAGATCAAATCAGATAAGGGTGGATCCATATTTGAGCCAATTATAAACTGATAGAATTTGGACCACCTTTCCACTCTGTACTAAGCAATCCCATGGACATGCAACCTGGATGTGCTCCACACATGTCTTTGTAATTTAAGAACTAATAACAACTAAACAGTTTGAAACTAATTTGACATTTCTTAAGTAATGCAGAACTTGCATCTTGCAGGCAGCAGGCCCCATTTTCCAACGATTGATATTATTTTGGATTACTTGTTTTAACTTAATGCATCTGTGTGATTTTTTAGTTTCTTATGGCCATTTAAATTCCCAAAATTTGGCATTGTAATACTGATGATCTGTCTGCTTGCTATTCTTGTAAACAATTACTTTAAGTTATTCTGATTGGATGCATGAGTTCCTCTTATTGTATTTTTGATATCCATTTCTAACCATGGGGAGATGTTACTGTTAGTTGATGTGAATATGCGGATTGCAGTAAAAAATTTTGGGAGTCAACTGAAGTTGATTTTTCAGTGGCATATATTTGGAAGAGGATGTCATACCTTTTTTTTTTCTGGATCAGCAACTGATTAATGGATATTTATTGATGAGAAAAAAAGTACAGCCTCATTGTCCTCCAAGTGGAAGGAACAATGGGGCCACATTCCCAAGGCTGATTATATCAACTGGTGCAAAAGTTTAGTATGATGAACAGTTAGCCTGTCAAGTGTGGTAAACGATAGCTGCCTGCCTTTTAAGCCCTTCTCTGGCAAGGCTGCCTGCTAGTTTGTGAATCATAAGTTGCCATTCATATCCATCTGAATGGGCAACTCAGAGAGGGGTGCCAGGGATTTGGCTTCTCTGGACTCTGATTAGGTGCCTTGGGAACCAAGGGCCTTAGGTTTGAGCCTCCATCATGACAAATTGGGAGTCTCCTTGGACTTGTATTCTGTCCAAACACAAGGCATGACCTGACTGAAAACCCTGAGCTACAGCCAAGATCTCTGCTTAAGAGACCCCTGATTGCCTATTACCATTCTTGTTTATCAAAAGACCAATTGGAACTTATTCTTTTGACCCTTTAGTTTTGAAAATTGCCAGCTATAGTGTTCTTATACAGAAAGAATAACAATTTCATACTTTGTACTGTTAGTATTTAGTCATAAGGCTCAGGATGCACTCTTTGTGGCTGCATATTTTTTATGTTAATCTTTGTTCTTCTATCTACTTTTATGCCCCCTTTGCACTAAAAGAATATTTTAACTATTTTGTTAGCTTGTATATCAGGAAATGTGCATGATCATTTGTTATCTTTTCCTTTCAGGTTTTTCAAATTTGACCACTTTGAGTTTAAAAAAGAATGCCGGCATAACTGCTGAAGGAATGAGTGCTTTTTCTGACCTAGTGAACTTGGTAAAGTTGGATCTTGAGCGATGTCCAGGAATTCATGGTGGACTTGTTCATCTTAAAGGTTTGTTGGAACAGTAAATCTTTCTTCTTGTGAAGTGGACTTTTCTCCCCCCCTCCCTTGCCATTCCTTTTTTTCTTTTCTTGTTTTGGTGCACTTGGAAGACTCTGGTACCTATGATAACTTTCTTTCCAGTTACATTTTCCAAGAACTTGTGGTTCTTGGGCAATATACAAAATAGGTTTAGTTGAAAATCTGGACAAATTGATGGTTCCACATGCAAAATTTTGTATTTATCCACATATACCTCTAGATCTTTTCATTGACATGCATCTGAAGCAGAGACGGAGACCTGGGGGTAGGGGTGCAACTTGGGCGGGTTTCGGTTAGGATTTTGTCAAAAGTTGAATGGGCCCAGTCCAAAGGACAAAGCCTGAAGCAGTGTAAAATACCAATTTGTGCCAGCCCAAGTTGCACTGTTTATTTGATCATATTAGCTTTTGCCCCCCCCTCCCCCCCCCCAAAAAAAAAAAGAAAAAGAAAAAGAAAAAGGTCCTGGATCCGGTTAAACTTCAAATTGGGTGTGCTTAATCTGGTTGGAGGCCACCCTAGCCTGGCACTAGAAGGGTAAATGCCAACCCAAGTTGAGGATCAATCTAGGTTAACAACCTGATTTCAGCTTTAGCGCAATTTATTTACTCCTAAAATCTATGTCACAATAGTATAGTCTAAAAGGGAAAAACTCGCTTCATGAATCATGATTGCTAGCAGAGTTAGCCTTGGGTCTTCTTGTCGGGTTCCAGCCCTATAGAGTAAGAGGTAACCTGATGAAGTGGTCAGGGGAAAAATGCAGAAAGGGGATATATTGGCTTCAGTTATTTTAAATTTGGATGCTTATAATCTCATGGGAACTGTCTAGGCATCATTCTTCTTGGCATGCTTGTTTAAATTGCTTAAAGTCATGCAATTATTTGATATATTGTTCTTCTTTTTAACAGGTTTAACAAAGCTTGAGTCTCTTAATATCAGATGTTGTAACTGCATAACAGATACAGACCTGAAGCCTCTTTCAGGTACCTACTGTCTTGCATATTTCACATTTGTTGACTGAAGTGTGACTAACTTACATGCATGGAATTTAAAATAGCTTTTGTTAAATAAAGAAGCATGGTATCATTCTACTATGGAACTTCTTTATCTTTTGTTTGTTTTGGTATGGATATGCATTTCCAAAGTCATCTGTCTATTTCCAATTTGAAGGTTGTCTGTGAATCTGTGATTGTTAGATAATTTATCATGATTTAAATTATATTATGTATTTTAGGAATTTGGGATGCTCATGCCTCATGATTTACTACTATGCTCCATACCTCATTGTTTCTACTGACAATTTGAGTGCTTATTTCATGTTTGGCCCCAAAAGCATGAAGCAATACCCCATAGTTGTCAAGGCATTGTTTAGGTGCCTACCTAGGCTACTAGAAGCCTTTGGTTTGGAGACTAGTCCGAATGCCTTGATTTTCAAAAGGGTACCTGTCTAGGTAACAAAAGTCACATTGTTGACCCCACTGCTCATACTATCTGACCCATTACATGGCCAGGAATCCAGTTCTGTTTACCCCCTCAACCACTTTTTTTATTCTATTTAGAAAATGTTGACCAAGTCAACAACCCAGTGACCTGGTCGGTTGAACCTTCAATCCTAGTCAGCAGGTCATGGTTTACGCATTGGACCTCTTTCTTTTTAATCATAAAATATCCTTTATTTTTAAGAAACCTCTGCTGTTGCCTGAATCACCTATACACCTTAAAACTATGCAGTATTCTTACCACCATTGTAAAAATAATTCTTTCAGACAAGGGTTCAGAATTGGGAGGTCTGAAGGGGGGGAAACTTCTGAAGAAGTGATTGGACCATACAACAAAACCATGTGAAAGTTGCATTAAAATTATTGTAATGATGTTTGCCTTGTATACTGGTCAAATCCTTGCCATTTTCAACATGGAGATAATCCTTTCTTAATTATGTTTCAGGGCTTTCAAACTTGAAAGAGTTGCAAATTTCATGCAGCAAAGTCACAGATTCTGGAATTGCACATTTGCAAGGTCTGTGTGTGTGTGTGGAGGTTCTTTTTCACTTTCTGTAGGATTTTGATGTATACTTGGTCATTTTGTGATAAAATTATTTGTTACTGATAAAATAGGGTGCCATAATTTGGTGTACTTTAGGATGGTTCTTCTAGTTTTGGTCCTTACCATTGATTTGGGTCCTTGATTCTGGGTGAGTCTATCTTGTTTGCAGTTGCTAGATTTCATTCCTTTGCATGGCAGGTTTGCTTAAGCTTGTTCTGTTGAACATGGAGGGATGCCCAATTACTGCTGCATGCTTGGAGTCTATTTCAGGTTCACATTCTCTTACACTTTGGACTTCTTCTGTTAATCAGATTCTAAAGTACAATATACAAAATGGTAATCTTGGGTTCTTTTTAACAATATACAAAATGGTTATTCATATTTTCACTTCTTTGTAAATATCAATGTTTCATTTAATAAAAATGTTGTGAACGACACTTTTTGGGTGAGAAAAAGAAAAAACTATTTTCTTTCTTCTGACTAGAAATTAAAATTTCATTTCCCTTGCAAAATTTTTATGAATTCTGTATCTCTTTCTTTTGGTTTCCTGACTTGTGTTGTCATTTGACTGCCCAGCTCTTGTTGCTCTGTCATACCTGAATCTTAACAGATGTGGTTTATTCGATGATGGATGTGAGAAGTTTTCTGGTAAGTGATGTAAAACCTTATTAGGTAATTCAATTGTTTGTAGAAAAGGGAATGAAATACATTTTTATTTCTTTAACTGTGATATTATGACTTCTCACAATTAAATGTTGAAGGTGGTAACACTAAATTTCATGCTTGAACTTACTTCTTCTAATAATGCTCCATGCAGAACTCGGGAACTTGAAAGTATTGAATTTGGGGTTCAATAATATTACGGATGCATGCTTGGTACATCTGAAAGGTGCCCCCTCTCTCTTTGTGGATATATTTATATATGCATATTATTCAAAAAGGAAGTCATGGGTACTACTGTTAGGGATTGGACCTTTGTTTCTTCAATAAGTTTTTCCAATATTAATCAAAGTTACCATTTCCTATCCCCAAAAAAAAGAAAAAAAAACAGGAAGGCATGTGTGCTGCACTCGGAATTAGTAGTGGATGGAAAAGATAATAGGTCTTCTTTATGTAGTTTTTCTGCCTGTACTTTCCCATGAGTGGGGCATTTGCTTTATATAGTAATAGATATGTACACAGTACACATGTGATTGCATGCAGTCAAATTAGGCACACTATTGGATGTTCTACTAATCAGGCTAAATGTGGCTCCCAGCTCCCTTGTTAAACAGTTTGCTTCTCATATTGTATCTCTATAAGAAATTTCATAAGAAACATATCCAAAATATAGAAGTTGTCCATAAGAAATTCCATTGATCTATTTATGGTGCTTCTAAAGTGCCAATCCTCTTGGAGGATACCTCTCTTAATGGTTTAGTTTTTGCTTGCATTTTCTTTCCTTCCTCCTGTCTTGAGAGCTCTTCCATGTGGATCATGACATCCTTGGTCACTTTCTAAATTTTAGTAGGCTTTGAGACTGAGGCAGGCAATTGGAAAGGTCATTCTTTTTGAGGAAGAGTAATTGTGTAAGTGTAAATTTTGTTGCCTTAATTCTTGGCAGGTTTAAAAAATTTGGAAAGCTTGAATTTGGATTCCTGTAAGATTGGTGATGAAGGGCTAGCTAACTTGGCAGGTATTGAACTTTGTTTTGTTTGTGTAAATTTTAAAAAACCAGTGGTTGATTCACATGTAGGGTAAATCGTACTTATGTGTTTATGCTATGTGCTTGTACATGTATATGCCAGCTGCATGGATATGTCGATATCTATGTACATGGACACTGTGCACATCTATACATACATTAATATGTGCATATCTATTCAAATTAGCAAATTTACAATGGGATCTGAAAATTTGTGCCGTGTAATGAAGAATAAAGAGACATATAGAACACATGTATGGAGAGGGATAAGACTTGTGGAATTAATATTAGCAGGTATTGCCAAATATCTTCTTAACAATTTTCTAGGGATCCCATAAGAAACTGAAATATTTATAATCACAGCCAGCAGATATGTGACATAAAGGCAAACATCTGAAATACTTTCTAATGACACCAAAGTCAAATTCAAATAGTGGTATTTTTTTGGTAAAGATTCAAGTGCAGATTTGATATCCTATTTTACTATTTTTTTTTTTGTAAACCAAATAATTAACCCATAATTATTAATATTAGCTTCTTAATAGTTTAGTTGCATGACTTTGGATTTTAATATTGACTTTGCTATATGAAAATTTTGAAGAAAGATTAATAAAAAAGATCTAATTTTAAGGACTCATTATTTGTGAAGGGAGTAATGAAAATTTGAAGCTTGGTTCAAGGGGGTTTAATGAGTAAGGTGTATGTGAAGGAGATCATTCGTTTAATGATGTGGACTCAGAGCATCATTTGAGGCTTTGAGGAGCCAAGTACTCTTTCTTCTTTGTTGGACATGTCCTTCCCGCCCCACAGTTCAATTCAAAGGAGCATCGACTTATGACAAAGGAATTTTCTTACTATTGATGGGGAAGTTTTCCTACCTTTTGAAAGAAGCTTTATTTGGGAGCTATGGCCTATTGATATTTTGAAGGGGTCTTTTACATGTCTTCATGGCAGTTACTTTTGGTCTTCTAGTGGCTCTATTGGAGATCTAGAATTCCAGATCAGAAGCAGAGATGAGGGGGGATCCAAACGGGCCCATTATCTCATTCCTAGTTAATTCATCCTTTGTGATCAGATTATCCGATGGAGTTAAAGCATGGCCATTGGCATCTTGCTATTACCTTAATGATATCATGGGTTGGTGATGCAGAGTTGCTGGGTTCCTAGAGGGCTGAGGCTGAACTCTACAGAAAATTGTGTTGCTAACCTATGATTAACAGGGGATCCTACACATAGTGATGGCTTATTTCCTGAGTAGTTCTTCATGGTGGTTGAACTGTCTATTCATTGATCTTGTGCAGCTTTGTGTATCTCCTCATTATAGTAAAGGGCCGTTACCAAATGTTGATCTCAGCTATCTGGGGTCTTGGGAGGAGGGGTCATATCCTATTCTCTCTTTTTCAGGAAAAGATCATGTAAATAACTTATGGTATAGGAGTTTTATTGGATTTGGTAATGCCTATTTTGGGGAACTTATCCAAGGCAATTTCCATGGTAGGAATGTATCTGCACCATTTTATTTATTTGTCTTTTTTACAGACATGTGTCTTCCACCTTCTTACCTAGTTAAAGTTACATGGCACTGATTTTTTTTTCTTTCAATTATCAAAAAAAAAAACATCTGTCATTTTACTATAAAGGAGAAGATTTTAGTATTAATCAAAACAAGGAGAAGATTTTAGTTTTAGACTGAATGTTCTTGTGAGCTGTCAAAGAAGACTGAATGTTCCAGTTGCTGATGTTTGCATATTTGTGTTTCGGTTTTTGAAGCTCAGGTCTTCTGAACTTGAAAATCTTGGAGTTGTCTGATACTGAAGTTGGAAGCAGTGGGCTCCGTCATCTATCTGGTTAGGCATTCTTTTGCAAGATATGATAGGACCACTACAAGTAGACATTGTTAACACATTTAATTTATAACTGTACTACTTTTTTCTGGCTTTTGTGTGCCATGATTTTTTTAACGTTATTGATTGGAGAATGTAAACTGTATTCTCTTGAATCTTATTCTCTGTTTTGTTCTCTTATTTTAATCAATATATTATTATCATTCTTTTATTAGTAATCAATATATTATGAATTGTGATATAATCTGGTGAAACCTTTGTGTGAATGTTTTCATTTAGAATTGCAATACATGTAGATACTTTCATATTGGCACTGCCTTTGTTATGTGATTTTAGTTTTCTCTAGGACTTTAAAAAGCAAGCAAAAATCAAATTCTTCAAATTTTTTGTGGGTTATGGAGTCTTCGTATTCAGTGAGTACTTTTGATCAATAGTCCTCATGCCCAGTATTCTTCTTGAGTGATGAAACCATGTGATGTTAGTGGAGTAAAATGCTGGGAAAACAATAAAAATACTCATCTATAAAAGGGTCATGTAGCTCAGATGAGGATGTTGAGGTGGATGAGTGCCAAATGGCCGCATCTGTAGGAACTTGAAGATGGCTCCAATAGGTGACAAGTTGAGGGAAATTTTCCTAAGGTCACTTTTTGATCTGCATATAAGGCCATTGATTACAACAGTGAAGAGTGATCTAGTTTGAGTTGAAGATTTTTAAAAGGCTAGGGGAAGGATTTGAAGACATATTGTAGTAATGATAGAAGACCTAAAAGCTCACAGCAGGGTGGTGGTACTGCTGACTTAACAGTGTTTTGCTTAATCCTTGGAATACTGAATTTTATGTTAAAGCCCCTTTACCCAATCATAATGATAAAAAATTGGATTCTAGGAGAATACAAATGTTTCTAAGAACTGCTCTAAATGAAGATTAGGGAAAACTCGAAATTCTCATACTTCGGTTTAACTTTCGAAATGAAGATAGACAACCAAGACACAGAATAAACACATGAAAAATTAAATTAAAATTAAATAAAAGTAAAGGAGACATTTTTTTTGTGTACTTGACATTCTTACTACAGTTTGGAAACCAAACGAGAACATGACACCCTTATCTTAGATGCATAATGGTGCTCTGGACATGGATTTGCCTCATGAATCAGCAAATTCATCCACTACATTTAATCCTTGTGCTCAAAATTTTGGGGAAGTAATGTTTTTCTTTTACACCTCCACCTGCTGGGTTCATGAAATTAAATTTTGATTGGAGTAGTAGGGGGAACCCTGGACAATCAGGGATTGGGGGTGTCTTTAGGGATGAGAATGGGGTCATTTTTGCCTTGTTCTCAGGTCCAATTGGAGTGGGTGACTCCCTTAAAGCTGAGATCTTTGCAGTTATGGAAGGAGTCCAGAAAGCCAAGGAGATGAATATCAGAAAACTCTTAATTGAAGGGGATTCGGAGGTGGTGATAGGGTGGCTGAATGCAGACAGCAATGGTTTATGGAGGTACAGTAATCAGAGGAGGAAATTTAAGTGGTTGGTGCGGGAGATGGAAGTTAAAATGTGCTAGGTCAAAAGATCAGCCAATTCTCTAGTTGATGGTTTAGCTAAACAAGGGGCAGAAAGGGATTCAATGTTTTGGGCTAAGTTGTAATTTTTTGTCTCTACCTATTCTTTTGTTTTCTTGATTGTACTTGGAGGATAAGTGTGTTTGTCTTCCTTGTGTAACTTCTTTGGTGAATTAATGAAATTGTTATTGATAAAAAAAAAACTCTGTTGTTATAGAAATCATAGACAGGTTTACTATTACATTAGGTTACAAATACAATTTGCAAGTATGCATTAGATTGTAGAGAGGGAATTGTATCCATAGGTATTTTTTATTTGTTTAATTAAAATTGATTCAAAAATTTATTTCAAGTCATTATTGAGCTTTTTTATCATGATATTCCTTGATTATGATAATTCGTGAGGAAGAGAGTAATTCCTTTCATTTTGATGATGAAGCTATTGCTCATGGCCCTGGTCAACATTAGTAACACTTTGGAAGATTGGAAGAGAAAAAGCAAGAGGTTATAAGCAAATTTGAGAATATGGACTTGAAATAAATTATGGGTGCTTTTGAAGAAAGAGATAAGGAAGAGAGATGGTCTCTAAGGGAACAATTGGAAGATATTTTACTTAAAGAGGAGATTAGTTGGAGGCAGGAGGTAGGGATACCAAATTTTTCCATGCATTGGCTAATGGGGGAAGAAGGAAAAACTTTATTTCGAAAATAGTTGTGGGTAGTATAACTATCTCTCAACAGAAAGAGATTGGCCGAGTTTTTGTGGATCATTTTAAATCTATTTTCAGGAGACCATTGAATGAGAAAGTATGGGTTGAGAGTCTAGAGTGGTCTAGATTGTCGAAGGATTCTAGGTTTTGGACTGAAAGAAGGTTTGATTTAAGTGAAATTAAGGAGGTAGTGTTCTCTACAGGTAGATCTAAAGCTCATGGATCGGATGGTTTCACCATGGCTTTCTATCGGGACTGCTGGGAAGTGTTGAAAGATGGTCCACGAAAGGTGTTTGAAGAGTTTATGAAAGGGGAGCGATTAACCCGGGGCTCAACTCAACATTTATTGCATTGATTCCAACAAAAGTTGATGCTTTGCACCCAAAGGGTTTTAGGCCGATTAGTTTGGTCAATAGTTTATACAAAATCATTGCCAAGGTTTTCTCCTAAAGGATTAGAGTGGTACTCCCATAATTTCACCTTTCCAAGGGGCTTTTGTAAAGGACAGACAAGATCAAATCTTAATTTCCAATGAAAGTATTGAGGAGATGAAAAGGACTAGAAAGAAGGGCTTTATTTGCAAACTTGATATGGAAAAGGCTTTTGATTTGGTGGATTAGGGTTTCTTGCTTAAGGTAATGAGAAGTTTTGGTTTTGGTGATAGATAGTGTAAATGGAGCTTGGGGTGCATTAAGACTTGTCATAATTCAATTTTATTGACTGGATTAATGGTGTACCACTTTCTAGTGCTAAGAGGTTTAAGACAAGGGGATCCCCTTTCTCCCTTTCTTTTCACATTGATTGCAGCTGTGTTTGGAAGATTTGTGACTGGGCTGATGATAGGAATTTGGTGAGGGGTTGGAGAGTAGGTAGGAATGAGGTGCCAATTACCCACTTGCAATTTGCTGATGATGATATTTTGTTTTGTGACGGTGGAAACCTTGGGTAGGTAAGGAATTTGAAGATGTTGGTAAAGTCCTTGAGTGGATGTCTAATTTGAAAAGCAATTTTAATAAAAGTTGCTTTTTGGGTATAAATATGGAGGAGAGGGAGATTGTTGAAGGTGCTTAGGTTTTGGGTTGTGAGTTGGCTCAATGACCTTTTTGCCTATTGGTATTACCTTTGGGAGATAATTCGAGAGGAAGTAATTTTTGGAATCTTGTAGTTGAAATATTTGTAAAGAAGTCGACATCTTGGAAGAGGAACTACTTATCTTTGAGGGGGAAGGATTTCACTTATTAGGTCTACACTTGCCAACTTACCAGTGTATTTTTTTTTTTTTTTTGCTGTTGTTTAGGATTCCTAAAGGGGTTAACAAAAGATTAGATGTAGAGACATCCTTTGGGAGCTAGGTGAGGAGAGGAAGGACCATTGAGTAAGGTGGGAAGTGGTTAGTAGAAGGAAGAAGTTTGGTGGATTTGGGTTAGGGAACATCCAAGAACGGAATATTACATTGTTAGGGAAATGGTTGTGGAGACTTCCAATGGATAGAGATATGCTGTGGACAAAAGTAATCATTAGTATTCATGGGCTTGTGAGTAATGGTTGGGATTCTCATATTTTGGCTAGGGCTTCCAGAGCTTCTCCCTAGAAATCCATCCATGCAATTTTACCATCCTTTTTGTCATATGTTAGGTAGAACCCTTGCTCTGGAAATCTAGTCAAATTTTGGGAATATATTTGGTCGGGTAATTCTGCATTGATGGAGCAAATCCTTTCTCTTTATTTCATTTCTAACCGTAGGGATGGGCCTATTTCTTCTTTCCTAGTTCCCTTCATTTCAATGTCTGGGTTTGACTGGGACTTGGAATTCAAGAGAGGGCTACGTAAGTTGGAATTAAGTATTGTCTAGTCTTCTTCAAAGATTGGAAGGGGTTTTCTTGGATCCTACTAAAAGGGATTGTTGAATTTGGACTCTTTCTTCTTCTAGATCCTTTTCTTGCGCTTGTTTTTTCTCATCCTTAGTTCAGCCAAGGAATAGCTTGGGGGTGCCTTTTCCTATTAAGGAGGTTTGGAGCAAGCCTATCCCTCATCGAGCTGGAGCTTTCTTCTGAGAAGCCTTTCTGGAAAGAATTAACACCTATGTTTTACTTCAATGAAAAATACCTAATTGGTGCTTATCCCCCAACCAGTGTTCTCTTTGTAAGGCTGAAGATGAGTTTTTCTATCACTTATTAATCTCTTGCCCTTTTATTTCTTTAATTTGGGTAAAGCGTACAAAACTTTCTTGCCTCTACCTTTGTTAGAAGAGGGAAGATTGTTATGGAGGTGCACAAGGGTGGCTGTGTGTTGAACAGCTTGGGAAGAAAGGAATTAGAAGATTTTTCTTTATAAGGAAAGAAGTAGAGGTGCCCTAATTGATGTCATTACAATTAGGGTGATCCACTGGGTGAAGCCTCTGGATCTCTTTAAGGGGACCCATGCAGATGATTTGGTGAGAAATTGGAAGGAAGTTGTTGACTCCGCTCCTTGCAAGGTTGTTTTAAGACCAAGTTGGTCCCCACCTTTACATGGTTTTATTAAGCTGAATTTTGATGGGAGTAGTGAAGGAAATCAGGATCCTTATTGCATAGGGGGAGTTTTCAGAAATGAGGAAGGAAGAATCATTGCCATCTGCTTGGGTCCAATTGGTGTGGGAGGCTCTTTGAAGGCTGAAATAATGGGTGTGTTGGAAGGCCTCCAAAGGGTTAAAGAGCTGCATATTCATAAGCTTCTAATTGAGGGGGGCTCAAAGTTATTGAGTGGCTGCAAAAGAAAGAGGAGGCTGGATGGTGGAACTATATTAATGGGAAAAGGAGTAAATGGCTGTCTCAAGGAATGAAAATCAATGTGTAATCGGCAAAAGGAATGCTAATTCTTTTGCTTATACTTTAGTAAATCAGGGGGTGGGAAGGGATCATATGTTTTGGGCTGTATTGTAATCTTGTAATCATGTTATCTGGGTGAGGGAGAGTTGTCTCTCCCTCTATCCTCTTTGTACATCTTTCTTTAATATTTTAATGAATCAGTTTCTGTTATTCATCAAAAAAAAAAAAAAAAACAATGCTTTGGTGTCTAAAAATGTTAGAGCCCCCCCCTCCTCTCAGAGAAAACCCTGGGAACGCAAGGCAGAAACAAGGGGAGGATAAAGACATGAACATGAAATAATATCTATGATGCCCAGCGAGATGTGAATACAAACAGGGATACAAGTGTTGATTTTCTAAAATCTTGGAAATGGATGTGTTCGAGTATCTCATTTGATGTGATTTTATATGATTATATCCATGTTTTCAAGCTACGTGTCATTTCTCAGGATTTGTCTTGCCAAATTTAGTTGAACCGCTAATAATTTTGTTGGTATGGTTTATTAAAACATACCATTTTACAGATTTTAAATGTGTTACTGCTATACCATCTATCTAGAAGTGTCCATGCAATATTGGTGTTGTATTGGGTTCACACACTTTACAACTAAGCATGTATAGGTATCAATTATCATAGAGTAACATTCTTGGTATATGTTATCTCTGTTATTTGTAGTCATGTTGTTACAAATCCTTAATTCTTGCTTTTGATTATAATTGCTCCATGTTCTCTAATGTTTTCCATTTCTCAATACATTTTTTCTGGGTTGTCCATAAAACAGAGAAGCTTGTGTCTCATGTATCAGAGAGTGGGGGAAACTTGTAGGAACCTCTTAGGCATTTTGTTATTTGATATATGCCATATGGATAAGCTAGAAGTTCTGGTTGGAACCTTAGATATTGAAATTTTACATGTTATTCACTTGTTTATTTTATAGATTTTTTTTCATTGTCCTGATACTTTGCAATTTAATGAATAATAAGAACATGTTTTCTGACTGTAGACTGTAGCTGTAGCTTTCTTGTGCACCATTTGAGATGCAGAATAAGCAATGAGATTTTGATGGTTTATGTTTAACTGGGATACATAGTTACATACCTTATTCTTGAATCCTGATTATTGGCCCTTTATTTTAGGTTTGGTTAACCTGGAGAGTATAAATTTGTCGTTTACTGTGGTTTCCGACAATGGTTTAAGAAAGTTGTCTGGATTGACGTCTCTTAGATCACTTAATCTAGATTCTCGCCAAATTACAGATACTGGCCTTGCAGCTCTTACAAGTAAGCCTTTTTATATATTGTTGTGCTTCTAAATGTAGATTTTCTCTAAATCAAAATATATGTGATATGAAGGAGCTATGATGGTTGGTGTTTTTAAACAAGTATTGCATGATTTGTTTTTCAGTTTTTTATATGTTTGTGCATTTCAAAAAATAAGTATAGTGGAAATGTGAATGTTGAGATGAATGAGCGGAAAAACTAGTAAGGATGCATCACAAATGATCATATTTGTAGGAACTTCGGAAAATCTCCCAGTAGGTGATAAATTGAGAAGTAGACTAAGATGGTTTAGTCTCATGCAGAGAAGACAATCTACAGCACCAGTGTGAAGAAGCAATATGTTGTAAATTAAAGGTTCTAGGAGAGAGGGCAGGCCAAAAAGGACATGGGTTGGAGAGTGAGAAATGGTTTTGGGGTCTATATTTTAACAATGGATATGACAGTTCCTATTTGCCATATCACCTGCTCATGTAGGAAGTATCCACCTATTGTATTCTTACCATGTGTCAAATTCTAGTCGCGGCCTTGTTTTTCTCTGTATTTTTATTTAATTTTCACTGTACTATGCTACCTATACCTGTATTATATGATAAGATGTCACCGAAATGACATGTCCTGTTGTGAGAGTCTTTTAGATTTCCTTTGTCTACATTTTGTCTTGCCCCCCAAGTACAAATGGTTGGTTTGAATTTCAATACAGGTTTGACCGGCTTGACTCATCTGGATCTTTTCGGTGCTCGTATTACGGATTTTGGAACAAACTGTTTGCGCTGTAAGTCAAACTAGCAAAAATTATTTCATTTACTAGTAATGCCAACCTATTTTGATAATCTTCCCATTGAGGTCCATCAGTACCTTATTTGCAGACATGTGTGGGACTCCTGCATGGAGGTTATGTTTGAGGCTTTAGTTTCTTAATGAATTTTCATTTGAACAAGAAAGTAATGCCAACCTAAATATTGGATGCTTATTACAGAAAAATTTATCCTGTGAAAAATTCAAAGTAGGTTGAAGAGAGAAGGGATTATCTATTTGTGTTTCCACATATTCTCATCAGCTATTTGCGTGTAAGACTGGAAATCTCCACATATGTACTTTAAGTATTGCACAAGCAATCCATACTACCGTTTTGTGTCAATATGAACTCAAGTCAATATTGCTGGCATATCATATTTGCCTTATCCTTTGGGAAGGTGGTAAAGGTATTTGTCATTACGTTACAGTGGTCAATCAAACTAAACTGATTTTCTGACACCAAGAATGGAAATTGATCTTAATTGAAATTTAAGTGAACCCAACTTTATTTGTATGTCATGGATTAAACCAATGGACTAATCTTACACATTCTGAAAAGCCTATATGAGTGGAAATATTCATTTCTCCCTTTTTTTGACCATCTTCTTGTGCTTAATCAGACTTCAAGAACCTCCGGTCCCTAGAGATATGTGGTGGAGGATTAACCGATGCTGGTGTGAAGAATATCAAAGATCTTACCTTATTGACACTACTAAATTTGTCACAGAACTGCAATCTGACAGATAAAACCTTGCAATTAATATCTGGTATGTCAACTTATTTTTAAGCTGAATATTCATTCTTCATCTGCTTAGAGGACTCAAATAGGGTACCATGGTTGAAGTTCCCATTGTATGTTTGCACTATATTTGGTCTATATGCTGTTTTAGTTGGGATGTCCGCATTGATTGGGCTGGCTTGGAGTTCCCTTGGAAAAATGCTTGAGTGGCCAATTTCTGTGGGCCATTGTATTTATTAATTGCTTAGAAAGTACACAGTCTAACAATGGTAGGGGGTACAACTTGGGTTGGACCTGGGCTGAGCCTTTGCTAAAATTTTGAAGGGGTCTTGCACCTGATGCACTGGAAATTATTCAAATCGAGTACCCAATTTACATCTGTAATTTGTTCATACTTAATAGGTTGGATTTGTTCAATCAGAATTGCTTTTGGACTGGAAATCTAAGTGAAATCTATGGTCAAAATCCTCCATTGACTTGGAGTTAGGTGCTGATGCATCTTAAGTTTACGAATTATGACATATTTCTGATTCTTATATTATGTGCAAAAAAATACAGGATTGACTGCATTGGTGTCTCTTAATGTGTCAAATTCTCGTGTAACTAATGCGGGACTGCAGCATTTAAGGCCTTTAAAGAACTTAAGATCACTGTCTCTAGAGTCATGCAAGGTCACACCTAGCGAAATAAAGAAGCTTCAATCAACATTCCTCCCTGATCTGGTAAGTGTTCGACCTGAGTGATTCCCATGATAACATGAGATGAAGCTCTGTGAATATCCTGGCAAGGACAATTATGTATATAAGTATCTGAATGAGAAACAACTAAGCTAGAAAATGCTTGATGAATTGTGCATATTATGGGGTAATGTGGGAATGTGGGTATGAATGTTTGTCAAGAGTGACACAAGGCAAAGAGTGTCGTCCATATGTGAACTCTCATTCAAACCAGTGTGATTCCCAGACTGTAAATATGCTTTCCTGGCATGGTCAAGACATGCCTCTCTGGAGCATGGAAATTTGTATATATACTGATGCAAGTATCTGTATAATAGATGCTTTCTCGAGTTGCGCTGTTGAATTTATTGCTGTTTTACATGGTTCCATGTTTCATGTGGCATAATTAGCAACTTTTCTCAATTTGAATCTAATTTATATTGTTTGTGACTAACTGGTTATATTCTGTGCTGGAGAATGGAGTAGGGGCAGTAAACCAGTCTCTGTAATGTTCTGAAGGATATGTATAGGCTGATACGGGTGATATGTTTTTGAGGTTGTGGATGCATGGCATTGGGAGCCATGGTAGAGGCAACCATTCAAATTCAAAATTGTCTTGGTACCCGAAAAACAAATAAAAAATTTAAAATTTGTCCGACACTTCTAATTTCTAGAGTACTCTAATTCTGTATTCAAGCATTAGCTTCTAATTAGCTCCTTTATTTAGGGCAACTATTTAAATTTAAATTTGTTTAATCGACTTTCTGCTATGAATTTACCTTAATTACTATCACACAATTTTTTGGAATAAAAACTACAATTACGATTTGAACCTAAACTAAACTTATATTTAGTGTAATTGATATATTTTTATGGGATCTTTCGAGTTTTCTTAGCACATGCATGTCTTATTTTTGTTTTACTGCATCCAATCATATCCAACATGTGTTGCGAAGTGTCCCATAAAATTTCTTTTCTGATGGTCTTTGCATTCCCTTTGAACATTGGGTGAGGCCCATAAAAAGAGGACATGCCATGTTAGAGCTTTAGTTCTTGTGCGGAAGGCCATGATCAAATTGGATTTGTGATGATTGATAAGCATAGAACTTATAATTCTCGTGTGGAGGGCTATAAATAGGTCACCATTTCACCATCTCATTGATGCACCGATTTATTTAACAAGGGTTGCAAGACATCTCAATGTTTACTAAGAGTTAGGTCCAGACTCAGCTCAGGGATTGAAAACCCAAATGTAATTCGTGTAAAATTGTGGGTTGGATTGGATCATTTTGGGCTTGGATTCCACCTGCCCAAGTTATACCCCTAGTATTGGAAATGTGATTTTAAGAGGGGTATTGAGATAGTGGTTACAATGTATATGGCAACATCATTCCACCCATGGTTTTACACAACACAAAACTTGTGTATGCATGTTTTGATACAACTGGATAAAAAAATATTTGGGTTTCAGGATTGGGCCAGGATATCTCTAGGAAGAACAATTTATTTAGTGATTCAGTGACCTCAATATGATACAATATTCATGATATGGGATATATAATATCAATACTTTGAACCTTGCTGATCTTCAAGTAGGTTTATTTCTTTTAATGGTTACAATACTTTAAACATATGACAATTGAGGGTAGCCCATCCCCTAAACCTATAACCATCCCAATCCTGGTGCTGGCGGGATTCAATCCCAAGTCCCCACTACAACCAACAAAAGACTTTACCAACTGGCCAGTTGGCACCTTGCAACAGATAGAGTTATTAATGCCCAAGTCCAATATACAGGTTCCACCTAGAACCCAGCTTTAGTCTGAATTTGCATCACTGGGAATTTGAAGGATTCCAAATAGCATTTTTTTTCTCATCTTTGTTTGTTCATAAATCATCAGATGTAGCACCATTACTGTATCATGCATGGTTTTTTAACCGCCGTTGACCCGGATGGTCAGACCATTTGGCCCAGGAACCGTTCAGATGGTTGATTCTGTTTTACCCAAAACCTGATCCCTGGCCAAAAACCATTGAATCGGTCAATGACCCGTTGACCTGGGCAGTTGAACCGCCAACCCATTTGACCCATTCAACAGTTTTGGCCATTTTTAGTTTTCAATTTTTTTGTTATCAAAACGGGCCATCTGTTTGAACTGGACGATCGAACCATCGACCTGGAAATCGGTGGCCCAAACAGATCCGGTTCCGGGTTGTTTTTTAAAACATTGGTGTCATGTAAGATTCTAAGTAAGGCAGTGCTGATTTTACGTCTCATGTCATCCTATAATGTTTACAAGTGCAATTTCCGTTTGTATATTGGGCTTTTTAATAGATCACGGCCCTTAATTTCCTGTTTCATTGCCACAATGATAAATATTTGATATTCTTAGTAATATTCAAGCCTGATCAAATATCAAAAGAATCGTTGAAAGCTATATCCACATTTGATTCAGTTAAATATCCGGATATCTGAATTGAATTCAAAAGACACATAAGCCTATAAAGTTTGTCGTTGCTGTTTCAACCTGAAATGTTTTGGATAGATCAATACAAATTGGCAGGAAACGGTTAACTGTTATTTGATGATGTTTATAATTTAAACTTATATATCTAAAAGTACATGTATGAGACTGATCATTGACATTTATAGTTGAAATATCAATTTAACCTTTAATGCTTGAGGGGATGGTCTATTCATTCCAGATGAAATGACTATTACCAATTTGAATCGATCAATCCAAAAACATTTTAAATAAAAAAAGCAATGGTATCAAACACAACCTTGCATAAAATGTGCAAATTACAACTATATATTACTTAAATTAACTGATGTTTCCATCCACACTAATTCACCTAATCAGTGTGATTAAATAAACACTAAAAAAAGTACTAAAACTCAACAGTGGCTTTTTGCATCTGTGTACTCCCATTCTTGCAACCGTTAAAAACTAAACAAAATTGAGAATAAAAACATGACAAGTTCTAAATTACAAAACAAATATAATGATTTTTTTCATTTTAGATAAAGATTTAAGGATAATGTTGTAACTCTATGCTTGTCTTACACATGGTTTTCGAACCACCATTGACCTGGGCGGTTGGACCGTTTGGCCCAGAAACAGTCCAGGCAACTGGTTCTGTTTTATCTCAAACCCAGTCCCTGACCGAAAACTGTCGAATCGGTCAATGACCTATTTGACTCTGACAATTGAACCATCGACCTGTTTGATTAATGGTTTTTAGCCATTTTTTATTTTTTTGCCAGAACAGACCATCCATTCAAACCAGATAATCAAACTGTCAACCTAAAAACTGGTGGCCAAAACAATTCTAGTTCCAAATTGTTTTTTAAATCATTATCTTATACCATTGGTTCGAAGCCCAAACGCAGAAGAATAACATCAGGTTGGCAGCTAGTCTTAAAACTTTTGTGAAATTCTTATATGCTTACATTAGGGCATTTATGGCAAAACAATATTCACGAGCCAATCCCATGTAAATGGAAAACTGGAAAAGGTGATGATGATATAAGGATAATATTGTGACATCTAAGAGACAGCAGGGTGCATGGATGCAGTTCATCTATAGAACAAGATGAATGAAAAACCAAAAAGATAGAAAAGATAAAAAGGGAATTTTGATTGGAACAAGAGTTTCTTTATTCAAAGGAACCCAACCCTTGTACATTGACCAATGATAGATCATATTCTTACAAAGTTCCAGCACCGACGTTTTCTTGCCTTGTATGTGACTACTGCTTAACATATGATTCTTCTTACTCCTTTATTTTATATATCCTTGGCGAATTGACGTCAATAGCATGATGCATACTATGATTACGATCTAGTGAAGGGTTGCCTTGTATTATAAGACTGGTATCAGACAAAAAAATTAAAAGGCTAAAAGACTTAAATTAACATACCCTTAACTTTCATAAATTGAATTAAATAGTTGTTGGCTGATCCCATTGCACTACATACTCTTCATCAATGAAACACTACATGTGAACTCATTTAAAATTTTAAAACCCTATTTTGCTCTTCTGAAAAAAGAGAAGTGAGGTGAAAGAAGATGAAGATAACTTTTGGTTATGTTTTCTTCAGCTTTTCTCTTTACTTCCTGCCTTTTCCTATATGGAAATTGAAAGAGAAGTAGCAAAGTCTTCCAGCATATCTTCTGGAGAATGCTGATAAATACAGATTTCTATTGCTAAGGAACAGTAAGAGAGAAAGTGGCTAATGCCCTCCAACAGATTTTTGGGCCTGCATTGTAAATGTTAAGGGCAGCTTGTTTGGCACAATGAGATAGAAGGTGTATATATAGGAGAACTAATGACTATAGTTTGGTATGTTACAACTTGCTAAGATAACAGATATCCGGCAGAATTTTAGATCATTCTTTAGGGAGACAGGAGTTGGGGAAAATTGGATGGCTTCTTGGATTTTCTGGGTTGAATTTTGTAAATTTCCTTTTTCCACTATTGGTTTCATCCTGGTGGAGGCATATGCTTTTGCATGCCAAATGTGGAGCTTGAATTCCGGGGAACGGTTAAATTCTTTTTGGATGGCTTTCATATTACTTTCCTGTTGGTATGACATGGCTTCTCCAGTTGGAAACAAATAAAAATAATGACATTTCCCAAGCTTTTCAGCGCAGGGATTTTTTTCCTTTAACTAATCTATTCTCATATTTTTCTTACAACTTATATTGTCATTTAACTTGTTGATTTGTACAAAAAGAAATCGGAATTCAATTTAACAAACAAAGAGGAGATGGCAAGAAGAGATTTACAAGAAAGATTCCTCCCTTGTTCCCTCTCTCTCTCTCTCTCTCTGGCTATTTCTGTGTGAGCTCAACAACCAAAATAGCAAAGAAAACATACAAGATTACAAGAATTAGACTTGGTTTGGGTTTTCTTTAAAAGTTCTTATACCTTGAGAAAGCTTTGCTGAAAACCAACGAGCTTTAATTAGTTGGATATGTGGAGAGAGAGAGAAGCCCACCACCAACATGAGTTTGAAAAATTCATGGTAGATTTTGAAAATTTGAAAGAAAATAAAGAGTGAAAGAGTCACAAGGTACTTCAAGTCTACTTGAAAAACTATGTTTAAGTTAATTAAGGGTGACAAAAATAAGTTGATTTAAGAAAACTCAGGATATGTTTAATTAATTAGGTGTTTATAAGTTGTAACCAATGCTGTTTTCTTGAAAAACGGCACCACATCAGCGCCATGTGGAAATCCATTTTCTCAGATCATGTTTTGCTTAGTTATGCATTTTTCCGAAAATGTTTTCTCAAACCGCAAATTGGAAATCAGGAAAGGTGTAGTATGAGAGATGCCCTTTTTGGTGTTCTCTCATTTTTTTACTATTGCTAGCAACAGTATGATGACATGGTACTGAAAAATGCCAATGTGGCAGCAGCAGCAACCAGAAATGGTCCCAAACAGGGAAAAAAAATTATTTCCTGAGAAAATGGCATATCAATGCAGCACCCTTTTCTCAAAAAATACCCCTCAGAAAATAGCATTGGTTCCAAACATTGCCCAAGTCTTTTACCCGAAGTAAAAACTAGAATGGTCAATGGGTCACGGTTTTACTGGTGAACCGGGTGATTAGCCCTCATGAAAACTGTCATTTAACTGGGACTCGGAATGCCTACCAGTTTCTGGTTTTCCATGCCTTACAACATGAGCATTACATTACTCGTGGTGTGTTCCTCTGAAAAACCAAGTTGTTGAGACCAAACTTTTAGAAAAACTACTTTGATCTTATAATCTATTGATGATGCTACATGCTTCTGAGCTGGAGGATGAGACTTGAGAGATCCTCAATGAGCTCCCATTCTGACTTGTAATGTAAGGTTAGCGTATCGATGATTGTCGCCATTGTTCAGACAAGCAGTGGATTAGTGGATTCCGGATTCTGCTCTGTGTAGTGTCTTCTCATAAAGATGCATCACGTCTGGTAAAGACAGCCCCGGCCCTCTGCAAAAATAGATAATCCGAACAACATTAACAGTTGACTCCTGTTCTTCCTTGTGGACTAGTTCAGTCCCTCAAATCATCACTAATTCTATGCTTGGGCCTGGGATGTCAATGTGTCATAGTTTCATAAATAGAAGCTCGGCGTCTTCTTCTATTGCCGTGCCTTCTTCTGGTCTGGTCGATTGGTCCTTTTACTGAATTCCGTCTCATCACAGGTCTTAATCAGCATCGTTAATGCGCATGGTGTGAGATCAATCATCAATGTATGCTGGTGTACCATCAGACTTAAAGCGTTTATAACTATCAAGCCACATGCCCAGATTAGATTGCGGAAGGTGTCTCTGGCTCATATGCAGAGATGAACTCGCCCCTAAGCCACATGCCCAGATTTAGATTTACATGAAAAAGATATATTTGCTGGATCTTAAAGACATCCTTTTGAGTTCTGAGTTTGAGGATACTGGCGTTCAAATTTAGTATTCATATTCATGCATCCATAAGGCTCGTTTGGGAGGTCTGAACTGAGATTGGTTGGAGAAGCCACAAGAAGGCTTCAGTATAGTAATTTTGGGCTCTCCGGGGTTTTCACCAAACATGGCTTGGCTTACGGGCTGTCCAGGTGGGGTTCACTACTGACTACACAAAGCCAGATGCCGTTGCGTGAAAGGCCGCCTCAGTCCTCACAAAGCCAGAAGCCCTCCCAAGTGGGGCATTAAAGCTAAAGCATACGCAGCAGCCTTTTGGCTTCACCTTCAGTCCCCTCACCAGACACCATGTATGATGTATCTTTATTCTCAGCTTAACAAAAAAATTTACACGTTGTGGTAGGTAGATATAGCAAACATTTGCCGGGCAACTAAATTCTCTGGATCAACCAGGTTACCAAATAATCACAGGGAGTTCCCAATTTTGCACAGCCAGGCTGATCCAGGTTTACAAGTAGCGTGTACTGAGGTTGGCAAAGTCCCATAAACATTCTTGCAGACAAGCTTGTTATGTCCGTCCAATGTTGCACTCCTGCTTTAGCTTAAAAGACTCCGGAGTTCAGACCCAGATGGAAGATGCTAACAACAAATAAAGGTTGATGTTTGTTAAGCCATTCAATCAATCACATCTACACTAGTGGCAAAATTCATTCAAGAGAAACTGATTTTCTAAAGCACTTCAACATTAATCGGTTAGCTTCCAGAAAATCTTTTTGTGTTTCTTCTACCCAAATGTGCCTGGGGTTGAAGACTGTCGGTAACAGAAAATTACAGACTACATTGCAATTTGATACATAAAACAACGTCCACCGTCACTATCCAAGTATCCTTTGATGTCAAAGAAAAATAATAAATAAAATAAGGATAATAACAAAAAAAAAGAAACTTCTCAAAAAAAGAAAGAAAGAAATAGAAGTGACTTTACCATCACTACTGCCACATATAGCTTTATGCCAACCTTTATCCTATACGTTGAGTCTATGCTTTCTATCTATCCATTCTCGAGTAAATTATCCTGAACCTCAAGCTGCACCCAAAAAAATAATAATGAATAAATACATGAATATTGACAATCAATTCTTGAACGTACCAAGGTTTAAAATATTAATAGCACAATAAAAAGATAGCATATCATGGGTTTCTATTAGTTGATACTCCTATTAAAATTTTCTCTTCAGTTTGATATTTACAAATGGGTTTATTAGGATGGACTGTTAAAATCCCTACTCTCAGTTGAAACTGATGCAATGCAATGCGTATTGATACTTAAAACCTTGGAACATGCACAATCTAAAGAAATATACAGATCAGGGAGCATACCCAAAGTTGCAGTTAAAAAAGGTCAAATGTCATCTAAGCTACACAAATAAAAGAACTTGGTGCCGTGGAACCTCCATCATCTCTGCTGTTGATCTGAACCGGAAGCTCCAACTGCAGTTGCTGTGGGCATGCTGCTAGCTGACCCATTCTCAACAGGCGGTGGCACACCCCATTTTCCTTCGGATTCCAAGGGCTCAAAGACATGGACTCCACCATCTGTTAGTCCCAATGCAAATTGGTTTGCTTCTGATGGATGGGCCGCAATTACAAGTGGATATACATTTGGGCTGCAACCCAATTACAAGAATTAGTTACACTGACAAATCCGGAATTTTAGAAAATGGTTGTGCTGCTTGAGGTTTGTATTAATGATTTCCTAAACTTCTTTTTATTGGTAGTGGATTATTAACATACAAGCAGGAAACCTACTTGGCAAAAATCTGAAAACTCAAGTTCTCAGCAAAATCTAATCAGTAAATAAATCTGAAAAAAAGCATCAGAGGATAATGCATGCATTTGAACTATGCAAATTACAATGATGCATCATCCCCCACAATGAATTCACCACAACTCCTTTTAAAAAGAGGTAATACTCCTTGGAACAGCAATCTCAATGTCACATCACCCATGTTATCACGAGTTCTTACCAGAAAGTATTATTATGAGAAGTTTAAGATTCTCTTAAATACAGGTTATGTGGTTTTGTAATCGACTGTCAAAAGGAGCAATCCCCTCTTTTCTGAAAAGATCAAAGTTCCACCCCCTAACAATAACAATAACAATAATTAATTATAATTAACAAATAAAGGGAAACCTAACCTTCCATCCTAAAAGAAGAGACGATCATTGTCCTAGTATTCTTTTGGAGAAAATTACACGTTACTTACTATCTAAGAAAAACAAGAGGCACTTAAGTCTTTCCCCTTCCTTCTCTGTCCTCACCCTTCCTCTTTGACTTCTGTCTTGAAATTGTTTTTGCTTGTTGAAAGATAGAAGCACAAGGTTATATTTTATTCTTTTTCCCCTGCAAACCTATCTAAATTTTCTAAAAGCTGACACTATTTGTTAACAGTGGCACCATTAAAGGAACTTTCAACCCAGAGATGAAGTTTAGCTTGTAATGGTCATCCCTGCAATCTTGTGGATCCTTCTCCATAAAAGTCTTTGTTTGAAGCCCAGGATCTTCATTTTTATTCTTCTATTCTTCCACAGAACCACTTGTCCAGCTCTTGCTTGAAGACTTAGCACTTATCTTTCTATTCTTCCATAAGACCATTCCTTCCATGCTCCAGTGGCTGAAGTTGCATTCTGGGATTGATTGGAATGGTGGCATAAAGCTGTTGTCCTAGCAGCAAGTAAATTTCCAAGGATCCAGAGCAGTGCAGATTTTCATTTATTATAAAGAAATTCCTTTCCTCAGGTCTTTAAGCTCTTTATTGCTATTACTTACATTTTTAATTTGTTTATCACTAGCAGACAGAATGAGTGACTGAATGAGAGAGAGAGGGACAGTTTTTCTGGCTGCCATTTCAATTTGTGAGAAAACAAAAATGAAAGAATGGAAGAAAACCTATATAAAGTTATAAAACAACCTATTCCTGAGTTTCTGTTACACATTAAATAGAGCAACTTTTTTCCAAGAAAAATGGAGATGTTAACCTCCTCTTGATAGCGGAAAGGTTGGCGTTGCCCATAATAAATATTCCAAGTTGCATTTCCAATTTGCTACAAAAGCCCCTATACATATCAGATGGACATAAGTACACTACTTAAACAATTGGTATTGATTTATAGTTTGTCAGCTAGTCAACCCTGAAGATTTACACAGCCTACAATATTTTGAGGAACTGCATTTGGGATAAGGATATCTAGAATACCTGACATTAACTGGAAGATAAGCTGTTGGGTTAATCCGACATCGTAATCGGAGATTTGTTGCACTAAATATGCACACAGTTGCATCCAAAAAGCTGGCATATATTAACTGGCTATCACATGAGAATGTTGCATGGGAGATTGGTGCAGTAGTTGGAACCCACTGCAAAAAACATAAAAAACAAGTGTCAAAAAGTTAAAGAATCATTCAATACTTCTACAATATTCTTTTTTTTTTTTTCATTTTGAGTTGAACCCACCTGCTTCACAATCTCTAGTTTTATTGTTTCATATATGGCAAGCTGTGTCTCATGGACAACCAGGAAGTGTATTTGATCTTGGTGAAACTGCACTCGTGTGTCTGACAAAGCTGTTGGTGTTCTTCCAGCTGGTATCTGCAAGAATCTGCTTTTCTGCTTTTCCCATCCTTCAGAGTTCCACACACACAGCTGTTGCAATAAATATAATCAGAAATTTAACCTCTAAATAACAGCTCTTAAGAAATGCTTAGAGGGGCAGTTAAATCAGGAAAATAATTAACTGATATAGAACATATTCAAAGGAGATAATAAAAATAAGTAAAACTATAAGTTAAATGGTTGTCCATAGTGCATATAAATTAATTGAAGGATTAGAATCTAACCTGAGCATCAGCTCCAGATGAAACTAGTACATTCAAAACATGAGAAAAGGCAAGACCAGTGATTCTTTTGGTGTGCCCTTTAAGCTTGCTTTTGACCTACATGAAAAAAGAGAGACCAGTTTCGAGTGCTGATTCTTGGCCTATAGTGGCTTAGATAGTTTTCCAGCAATGTACCATACCTCATCTACTCGGACATTATATATTTGTATTGTAGAGTCATCCATGCCAATAGCAATTATATTGTTATCTTGAGGATGAAAAGCAAGAAATGTTGCTGCAGGTGGTGGAGGCATGAATGTTGTCATTGTCTGAGCTTGTCATACAAAAGTTGAATAAGTCAGTTGACCCCAAACATCAAGTAAAACCATACGCAAACATTTAATTCTATTGCCCATAAATCACCTTAAAGGTCATCATGTTAAACAGGGAAATTTTTCCTCCTGATGCAGACATAACGTAAGAATCATTCTTGGACAAAGCAAAACAGGGAACAGCATCTTCAGGATTGGTATCAACTATGTCATTGGTCATTAGTATACCACTTGATGGTTGCCATAACTGAGGAGCAACACTGGCTGTAGCCTGCACAATGAAACATCTATTCATAATCCATTTTCCAACCTCAAGAGGGCATGAGGATGACTTAAAATATATCAATTTTCCATTATGGCTGATAATTGACATTTGCCATTTACCTTGCCAGTTGAATTACGCTCATTTCGCTGCCATTTCCAAAGTAGATGAATGGCATTTGATGCTAATGCCAAAATGGCAGTGCCAGAATTAGTGTAAATCAACCTTGATATCTGCAAAAATCATAAAAAGAAGCTTGTGATAATCCCCTTTTCTTTTTAATTGGAAATGTTAGGCCTTCAAGATCTAGTAGCTCAAAAGTAAGAGGTGCAGTATCCCAAGTGGATGGTTTTTTTTTCTTGGAAAAAAAAAGAGCAGTATACTGTTTTCAACTAAAACACTAAACTAATACACGCGTCTCATGTAGTACAACATTTATAATATAGCATATATTGCTTTGTGGAGCTACACACCAGAAGACAATGATTTGATTGACTTTTTTCTTAGCAAGAAACGATTCACAACATCAAAGAAATGTTGAAATAGTATAGACAGTACAAGATCATATTTCACAAGTATCACATACATAATAGTCAGCAAATTTCTCCATGAAAGATAACCCGTTCATTTAAATATAAGAAAATAACATCATCTGCACAGAAATGCTAGTGATGGTTGAAAAACCATACCTTGTTTGTTCTCAAGTTATTATCAGGAAGCCTCGAAGATCGACACTGAGCCTGTTCACTAATTTCAGTAAGCTTCCAAATCTTTGATTTTTCATTGACATCTTCAGTTATTCTAGGTTTTACATCTCCCAAGTTCCGTGCATCCCCATTCTAGCAAAATCAATTGTTATGTTACTTCAGAGAATTAGCTTCTAAAATATCTTAAACATTCTGGCACAAAGGTCTACTTAATTGAAGAAATAATGATAAAAACATGGAATAGAAGCACTAAGCCTCAAGAAATGATGCCTTGGTATGGAGATATACTGAGAAATGAAAACAAAAATCTGTCACACACCATTGCAGTAATAGCAACCACAGAGGCACCTCTATCTGCATGTCCAGTAGCACTTGCAGCTGTAACAGCTGTAATCTGGCTAATTGTAGGCTGCTTGAAGTAACAAGTATTATTTATTAAGCAGAGATCAATTTTCAACAAGAGGCGAAACATCAGAAAAAGTTGCATGATAAGCTAACCTTTGTTACAGTTTCAGATACAACTCTAGGGCCATCAAAAGAACGATTTTCAAATGTTCGTAATAACCGCAATCCATCAGCATTTGCCAAGATTTTAATTCCATTGTCATTCGTAGAAACAGCCAATAACGTGCCCTCCTTGTTGAAGCGGATACGTGGACTTGCCTTTAGAAAAAAGAGGCAAAAGTGCACAACTTAGACCATGTTTCCCTTTTCTTCACCATTTTAATCACAATAGGGGGGAGGAGGGGGGAGAACTCTTTAAGAACTTACTTGTAGACCTCCATCAGCATCAATAGTTGTCAAAAGATTAACATTATCCATATCCCAAAATTTGATGGAAAATTCATCACCAGCAGCCAAATATCGGTTCCTAGTTGTATCAAATTGAACAACACCCATGGAACGTTTCCTAAATCCTTGATAGGTTCTCTTTACTGCCCCTTCACTTTCATTCCATTCAACAATGTACGACTCACCTTCTTTACTGGTTCCACATGAAAAGAGCCTACAAAATGTCAAACAAAAAGATCAGCATGCCATTACATCTGCAAAGATGGTGAATGCAAGGATGGAAGGAACATATCCAGTAAAGCAACCTTGTCCCATCAGCACTATAAGCCATTGTTGTACACCAATGACCAGGAGCTTCGTAGTCCACCCTAGAACCCAAATTATCATACAGCCATGCTTTTATCTTTCCATCCAATGCTGTTGAAAAGATAAACTAATGCATGAAAGCAAAAGAAGAAAATGTTAGGAGAAAAGCAGATTGATGCCACTGGCTGCATATGAAGAAAGAGGAAATATTCTATGCTCCAAAATGTAGTAACATAGAGGGCAAAAGAATAGGACTGAAAGAGTTGTTACCTGGATGTTTTCCTTGTAGTGAGGGCATACAGAAAAAACAGGAGCATCATGACCTTCAAAAGTATACTGTTTTGCACCAGTAGCTGCATCCCACACCTAAAATTATGAAAGTATTAACATAACTTTCGATATTCTCTATTTATTAGAAATTGTCTCACATCAGTAACTCACCTTAATTGTCTTGTCATCACCACAAGTTATAACACATAGTTGTTTATTAGGGTGAGAGAATGCCAGATCATTTACACCACCAACATGCGCATCAATCTATGCATCAAAATCAGTGTTATAAGAAAACCACTCAAAAGGACATCAAAGATAATGAATCACTACTTGAAATGAAACAGGTGCAACTCATACCTCTAGGTGCTGCCGCACATCATCACCACCATGGTAAGAATATATTTGCACAATGTGTCTTGAGTATGCAACTCCTGTGTAAAGAGCACAATTATAAAATTCATCAGCAAAAATACAGTTAATGGATTTAGACCTGTAGTTGAAGAAATATATATAAACTTACCAAACAAACAACCATCTGGGCTCCATGTTATACGGTTAACAGATACACCAGGATCTTTAACTAAAGCTGCCTGAGTTCCATGTAAAATTGACTTAGATGTTAGATAACTCTATTGTTAGATAAAACTGGGAGCACATCATATAACCTAAAAAAATGATTCTCCTCCTCATATAATAATGCAGAGCACAGATAAGAAGAGAACACACCTGAAGAGGCATTGAACATGCTCCAAGATCCCAAACCTTGAAGTTTCTTAGAACCAACCTCTCCCTAGAACCAATTTCCCAGAGTCCAATGTCCCCAACATTGGTACCAACTGAAATGCAATGTAATTAGAAGTCAACAGCTACTAGGTCAAATTTATAAATTTATAAAAAATGTCATATTATTTAAGAAATAAACAATTCTTAAAGAAAGAAAACATAAGGAATGATTAAAGTATAAATTTAAAGTAGAATGGTAAAGGACATCAGTGCACAAGAAGCTAACCCAGAAGTAATGTTTGTTGAACAGGATGGAAGTCCATGCTCATTGGGCATGACCCCTGTGTCAATGTCCGTGCAACAGTCTTAGGCAAGTCATCTGGTGTATTAAAAGCCTGACTGTGGCTCTGACCAGGATAAGTTACCGGCAATATATTAACAGGCAGATTAACCTACACAAATTGTAAAGATGGGAGTTATAGATATCACAAAAATCCAAGTTAAAAGCCAACACTTTAAAAATGTAAGGGTAGGCCTAGCAAGAGTAAATCTAGTCTACCTCATCAGAAATTCCCATGGGTCTTGTTCTTTTAGATACATGATCAGGATCCCCTGATGAATAATCGACAGCAGGATTATTAGTTGGGGGAGTCCTAGGATGCTTCAAAATAGCAGCTGCAATAGATAATGAGGAAAAAGGAAAAATGTTAAAGTCAAAAAAAATATTAACTCAAGTAAGCCATTTGGGCTTGGCTTCATTAATTTTGCCCACTCTGTCTAGGGCCACACTAGTCCTACATATTAGTTCACCATACTAAGATGATAATTCAAAGACATACTGCATGCATTACTTAAGAATTAAGACTACTACCTGGATTTGTAGGAGCACCGAGGCCAATCGGTCCTCCAGAAACTGCTGGATGAGTTACATTAGATGGATTAGACATCCAACCAGCAAGTGGGGTCGGAACTGGTGCTGGAGCAGGTTGAAAAGGCTGAAAACGAACATTTAGAGGATTGTAAGAAAATTAAATACAACTGATAAACAATATGGTTTCATGACTAACAAAGCTAAGAGGTTACCCACCGCATGTCCACCCAATGGAGGAAAGCCTCCAGCTTTTGGTATAGATCCTAGAAGAGGATTGTTTGCAGGTGAAGGGGCGCGTGCACCATTTGGTTGACCACAAGTATGGTCAACAAAAAGTGTTTTTATATCTGGGTTAGGCCTTGGGTTTTTACAAAGTTGATGCTGCCAATTCAAGCTGCAATGCATGCCCAGATCAGTTATTCAAGCATAAGAAAGTTACTATTTACCATGGCACATGTTTCACAAAAACCCATACAAGTAAGTCATTGTCAACATGAAATGCACAATTATTTTCACTGTCAAAACAGCCTTAATATATAAAGATTAAAGCAACAAAAAATGGCACAGAAATTACCTTTGGTTAATGAGGGTTCTTAGCCTTGAGTTTTTGAGACTAGGAAACTGCAATTTGTCACGGAATAGAGGATTAGCTTCAATAAGCTTCTTTAGCTCAACCAACATGATTGTTCTAGCAGACTTTGTATCTCCATATTTGGAGAGTTGCTCATTTTCCCTGTAAAGATCATAGAAATATGAAAATCCCATTAGTATTAGTATAATATCTAAATAACCAAATTAAGGTGAAAACTAGAATGATCAATATGAGAAAATAAATACCTAAAATTCTCTAATGTTAATAGCTGTGTGATTTCTTTGAACAGCTCTTCATTAAAAGAAGCAAAAACCTTCAGATCCTTTACAAGAATATCTACAGCTTTGGCGCGATCATGCCTTGAAAAAGGAAAGGAAAATATGACTTCACATAAAAAATCAGAAAGTAATATTTGCATGACAAAAACAGAACCTTTAAAATTAATAAACTTACTTATCCAATGCCTCAAGGTATTTCTGCTTCCTAATTTCAAAGAATATCTTCATTGAATACCGGTTGTCATCCACTTTGGTGAAACCCGAAAGATACCGCTCAACCTCATCCCAATTTCCATTATGAACTTCATCTTCGAAATACTTCATGTTAAAGAAGAAACCCGATTCCTGTTCAAGTCTGTTGAAAAGAAACACATTCAACAAGACCGAATTACATAAGCAAGAGAAAAGGAGTTGACCTTAAAAAATGTCAAAGAAGAAATTTTTCATAAGCAAAAAAAAAAAATACTTGTGAACGGTCTCCTTGAATTTTTCCTCATCCAGAAACTGCAATATCAAAAAGACGAGCTCTCTACTGAGAGACGACATCGCAACGGCCTCCCTGCTTCTCCAGACACTTCAAATAAACCGAAATCCGACGAAACAGCTACAGATCTTCTGCAAAAAAATCACAAACAACTCAGAGTCCTCTCTTCCAATTATCGAAACTAAAACCAACAAAACAAGCATTCACGCATCCAGAGTCAAACTAAGACCAGAAGCTTCGACTAATATTCCCCAAAACATGCGAAAAAAAAGCCCCTTTTCCATCATATCTTCAATCAAATTGAGAATCGCCGAACTAAGTAACTCAAACCATGAAACTCAGATGCAAAATTAGGGTTTTCAACAATCGGGGAAAACAAAAGCAGCTTTAGAGTATTGGAATCGAAGATGCAGAGAAAAAGGAGGGGGGAAATGAAAAAAGCAAGGTCAAGATAAAAGAAAAAGCCAACTTTAAAGGCGAAGATTCGAGCAGAACGAGAGCTACCGGAAGCTTACCTCAAGAACGAAAAACCATAGATCGATGAAGACGAGCAACAAACCACACGGTAGAGAGAGGAGAGACGACGAACTCGAACAACTCTCCTTTCTCTCTCCACTTCTCTTTCTTTCTTTTTCTCAGAGGAGGAAAAAAAATACGACATGAACTCGCAGGATAAGAGAATTTATAGGGGAGGTGAGAGAGAGGCGACAGGAACAGAAGATAAGCCGACTTGCTTATTTTTGATAAGTAGATTAACAGATCAGATCTGATAAGTAAGCATACTTTTATAAGTCCAGTGATAAATGGGCCCCGCAGAGCCGGCTACGTTTTGTCGACTTTATCGGCGCGGAATCTTGAACAGACAGCTGTCCTTAAAGCTTTAAAGAAAGACTGAAGAGAGAGTGGGGTAAATGTGAGTGATTGCATGAGAGAGAGAGAGAGAGAAAATCTTCGGGAGAGAGAGAAACTGAAGTTAGTCTCTCGTTTTTCAGATCTCCCCGAATAAACGACAAAAACCAGATGGACGAATTTTTACCAATTTCGGTCAAACGAAACTTGCAAATTACGAGATTTGCCACTGCCTGTTTATGGTAGAAATAGTATAACGTGATCCGGACTTTTCGTTTCGGCAACAAGATAATGACACATCTCGAGTTTTGCAAAATATCACCTTCTCGGATTCTCGCGATATATCGGCGCGATACAAATTGTCGGTACTCAAATTATTACGACAGTAATTTAATGACTGAATCCGATTTTTTTGTGGAAAATTAAAAAAAAAAAAAGAAAAAAAGAAAGTGCACACGTTTTATTGCTATTGAAAGGACTGCATTTTTATTGCTCCGAGTCTACAACGTTAATCCCCTTGCCCTTCACTCCTTCCCAGACCGTTCACTCCGTGGGTCCCACCACTAGAGTGATCCGTACACCAAGGCTCAGGGACATTGCACCACTCTCAGGTGGGCCCCACCTGAAAACTAACCTGACCGCATCCCCACGACCAGCGATGGAATTTCCTCACCATTCTTCGTGGGCCCCGTCATTTTAGCCATTTTTCAGCCACCGCCCCGGGGCCCCACCGTCCACGACACGGTTGTTGGGGTATCGCCCTGTACGTAACCCTAACCCACCCGTGATCCATACCCATACTCAGCTGGTTTGGATCCAGAGAAAAAGATAAATATTCCAAGTTTTCAACATAGGCCCGATCCCGTAATGTATGCAACTATGCATGTTATGGAATCCGAAACCATTTCCTCTAATCTAGGATGAAGATCCGGGTTTGATCGGATCCGGTCCACATAGGATCCATTTCATTACCATTTTAATGGGTGTACGGGTACAATCTATTTGAATTATACCCATTATAACCAAATAGTTCGAGCTCCAATTTAATTAGTGTTAAATCAAGGGACTAAGTTTGATTAATTCAACCAACAAAAATGTTCAGTTGGAAACTTCACAAGCCCATAAACCAATCATTCGGCATCATAAAGATGGTAACCAATTAAGTAGGTTTTGATTAAAATTCATGAGATGTTTTGATTGATCAAAGCCATATTTATCACATCTTTCCAACATCATATATATATGGAAATACATAGGTTTTTATCAACATTTGACAAATTTTAATTTATCAAATATTTAGTGCAACTGAGCCCATAGAAGAAAATAGAAAAATTGGAATATAAAATTATTTTTAATCGAATTAAGCTCTGTTCGATTGAACCGTAGATGGCTGTACATGGGAGTGAAAAAGTCCAAATCCCAAAGTCTACAGAGTTGCGTGTCTTTTAGCGAGCCAAAGTCTACTGGGTTACAATGAATCTTTTTTTCAGAGTGAACGAACCAAGTTTCTCGTGGTCTCAATAATTTCGGACGATGTGACTCGTCGACTTATCGGATACCGGGGGGTTGGGTTCTCCAAGGCCAAGACGACGACTATATTATATATGTATGCATGTATCATAATTATGATTTGATTAAGACGGGATTAAGGACTTTATAATAGTCGTGTTTGGCACGTATATCACGGCTTAGAAAAGTACTTTTCGCTTGATGGGATCATCGTTTTATTTTTCTCCGTTTAATTGTTTGGATAATAATAATTGGTTTATTGTGGTCAAAAGACTCAAAACGAGTATTAGTTGTTTAGCCGTTTCTTATGATACAGAATGTTATCGTGCTTCAAGGACCACAGGCAGGAGGTAGGTTGGTTGCTTGTGAAGATAATCGTGTGACACATGGGATTAAATTAAATAATGAGGGGCATGAGAGGGAGGACCACAGTGATAGGCTGTGGTCCTTGTGACCACCATTCTAGCGTCATTTCAGAAGACTGACCTTTTCCATTACAGGTGGAATACTCTGTTGGTTTTGTCGGCTACTTTTATGTCATGCATTCAAAAGCGCACATTGATTCTATGAGCATGGCCTCATGTGAGGGCTTGATTCGTAGTGATCTGGTTTTGTAAGGTCCGATTTTCCCAAAAAATCGAATTCTTTAGTTGACGGGTTGTTTTTGGATCCTGGGTGACCCGTACCGTGATGATGTGGCTATTAAGAAATTGTTTATTTATTTAAGGCAGACCGTTGAAAACATTGAATTACTGTGGGAATGAAATAAATACGACTGTGACTGAGATAAAAAATTGGTCGTCCTAGAAGTAGGAGAGCAGGGCCGCGAATTTGATGCATTAAAATTCACAATGAAATCGAATCTTATCCATCTGATTTATGGAATCGAATTTCGATTCTAATGGGAATATTAAATAGCATTAGAAAAATAAATTGAAATATTATATGTTCTTAATAGAATTAAATAAAATTACTGATATTGCATATCATGAATAATAAGGAATTGAAAATAACTTTATGGGTAACTTGAATTTATGACTCTTTTGGTAAAAATATTACATTTAAATCAATTTTACTAATAGGTATAATATAAGGTTGCATTTGGTATTCCTTATTTTAAGGATTTATATTTCTTTTGCAGTTCAAAACTACGTGTTTATAGAGGTATTTTAACTGCAAAAAAGAAGATAAGTCCTTAAAATAAGGAATGCCAAATGCAGCCAAAATTTGAGTATATATAAGTATATACATTTAAGTCAATTTGGATTACCCTTGATCAAATTCAAATTGAGTAAATGAATGTCATTTGTAACCTTAAGGCTCAGTTTGGAAGGTGTACAAGTACAAATATATACAGTATAAATGCATACAAAATAATATAAAATACAAGGTTTTGCACTCTACTTATTTGCATCTGTATTTCTTCCAAACGGAGCCTAAGGCTCAGTTTGAAAGGAGTATAAATACAAATATGTAAAGTGCAAAACCTTGTCTTTTGTATTATTTTAAATGTATTTATACTGTACATATTCGTATTTATACTCTTTCCAAATTGAGTCTAAAGTTGTATTTAGTAAGAGTGCAAATATAGAACTAAAGTGAATTTACACTCACAGTTTGGGTTTGCAGGTATTTAATGAGAGTGCGTTTTTGTACTTAAGGCTCAGTTTGGAAACAGTACAAATGCAAATATATACAGAGTAAATACATGCAAAATAATACAAAATATAAGGTTTTGCACTCTACATATTTGCATTTGTACTCTTTCCAAACTCAGCCTAAAAGTTTTTTCACTGTTATGCAAAGTAGGATAAAATTTGCTTTCAAAAATTGCAAAGCAAAATCTGTACTGAAATTTTATTGGTAATCAGACAAAGTATTTTATTAATCATAATCACTAAAAGCCAGTCAATGATACATCAGAAGATCGGAGCAAGTTAGACAACCAAGAAGGGGCCCTTTTACACAAGTATGACTAACAAGAAAATAAACAACTCTGTTTGAATCTCTACTAACATTAATAAAGATATATAACTGACTTGAACCACTGTTTCTCCGTACTGAAAAACAAGCTATCGAGATTCGTGTTTGCATCTAATACAACCACACAAGACACCTAAATTTATCGGTGTGAACCAAGTTTGTACACGGTTTCATTGCTTAAATTTGTATTCACATGAAGACATATTTATTGCATTACAAACAAATGCAGGCTAGAGGGGAGAGTGATGTTAGTATGTTACCCTTCCTATACTATACTCGTTCATTCAAGAAGTATCAATGCGTCTCTAATGGCTTCTTAGACTCTTTTTACCCCTGTTTGTTAATTTGACCCATTTTATTATGAGGACAAAATCATAATTGAAAGGATTTATTTTTCGCTTTCAATCAAATAAGAGGCATTTGGTTTAAGGGCTCAATTATGATATCAATTTAATGTTTAATTAATAATTTACTCTTAATTGTTGTTAATTATTTACTATTAAATTAATTATTCTGATTTAGTGAAATCCTTGAAGTAATTTATTTCAAGGTTAATAAAATTTGTTTTCTAACTAATAGATTTTTTAACACCCTAAGACTAAAATGGCCTCTTCAAACTTGATAAATGTTACATAAGCATGCTTTTATTATTCATTGTCTAATGGATCCATTGACCATGCCTCTAACATCGTCTTCCTTTTCCTTGAAGTGGTATTTCCATCATAGTTTAATGGCCAAATGACCCTTTTTTAATTCTTTGGGATCTATAGTAGATCTTTTTTTTTTTTTTTTTTTGCAAAGTTAAAGAGTTATAAGAAACAAAAATCTTATGTCAAGAGGGCTTTGATCAATCAAGAATCCTAAGGATTTCGATAAATATAAAATGATTGATTACCACTTTTGTGATACTTTACTGGTTCATTGGTTACAAGTTTTTCCAATTTCCTAGTAAAACCCTTCATTAGTGGCTAAGGATTGTTGGATCTTTTTTTTTTTGCTCCTTTGCAAAGCCTTGATAATCCTATATATATATATATGGAAGCAAAAGAAAAAGAAGAAAGTTTAGAAAATTTTTCATTTTTTTTTAATTTTTGTATTTTAAATTCATGTCATTTTTTAAACAACCAATAGAAAAAGTGTCTCCAGCCCTATTTCCCACTTTTGGCCTATTGGGTGTGGAATCTTTAATTTTTAACTTTATTTCCTATTTTTTTGCTTCTATATACATATATTGATAAAGAGATGAGGATACATACATCTCATCAGCTTTGGAGTTTTCTATTTTCATTAATTGAAGCAGTTGCATTCTTTTAA